GTGCGGAGGTGGGCGGTCGCAGAGGGGGGATGTCGACCGCAGCAGTTGACAAATTTGGAAAAATTGCAACAGCGACAGCAGCCAGATGCTGCTTCCTTGAGGCCAAAAAAAATATCCAAAAAATAACATCATCGCAGGGGGAGCTTCACAATTGAATATATGTGTATATATATTATATATGCGGGTAAAATTGTGTCAAATTGTTGACGATGCTGATGAAGATGCCACCGATCACATTGTTCTTTTATGTGTTCCCATGGCCAAGGGAAAATTGGAAAAACAAAGTGCCACATGAAAAGGGGGGAAATTCTGAGAAGTTAACTAATGAAATGAAGCATAAGCTGAGAAGTCTTAACTTATTTAATACACATTTTTTATAACATTTTTGATATTTAAAGTTGCATTTTTAATAACATTTTCTTGTACAGCCTTGTTAAGAATAACCTATTAGAATTACCTATTATCCTGTTTTTTACAAAAAAGATATAATATAATCTTATACATATATACATTATAGTTTGATAAATATATTTATATTATATATTATAATATAATATATTTTTTTATTCAGATACTCAATAACCTCTAGCAAGAGTATTCAATCTTCACTTTACATTCGTTTTATTTTGGTATTGTTTATTTTTACAACAAAGTTTTTGTTCGCCATCCAATGTTTGTAAACATTTTCCCGCTTTTCCCCCCCTTTAATAGCACTTCATCCCCTGTATCCCAGATTATGTTCATTTATAATTTTTTCATTTCTCTTCGCTTATTGTAAATTCATTTGAGTTGCGGTTGAAGAATTTTCACTTAATGCTCAGCAATTACTTGAAAATACGAGATGTATAAGCTAGCTGAATAGATTATTTTAATGCGATTTAAAGAAAGCACTTTAATGTTTCACAACAATTCAGTTTTTATGATTGAGTACTTTTTCCGATTTTCCGCTTAAAGATGTGGCAAACCAACTGTAGTTTTATTACTCAGTTCATAAAACATTTAAGATATCTAGCATAAAGTAGTCTGCACACGTTTAAAAAATAAAGAAGTTTGTGGCACTTTTAATGAGTTCCATAAAGTTTATGTATGTATTTTTTGATGCCCCCAGGAAATCTGCTTTATTAAGGCCTCTAATTTGCCTACATTTAACCTTCCGTAACACACTTTTTCATCGCTCCCCATTACACTTTAATGTTTCAGTTCCACTTGAGGTGGAAGGCCCCCCGACCACGCCCCCTTTTCGCCAGCTCATTTGGGACATTAAGTCCTGACAGCCGTTATCTCGGTTCCACCTGCATTACAACGTTTTTATGCCATTTTTCTTGTTGAAAAAAAAACAAAGGTGCCCCAAACATTTTGTTCCCAGGATTATGATTCAATATTTTTCAAGCAAAGGAGACGCAGTATGCTGATGAATGTTGTCGAATTACTCACATCGCTTTGACACTTTTCATTAGAAAAACTTCATTCGCCCACTTTTCCTTCAGCTCAAGTGAAGCTGCAGAAATCTGTTGTATGTTTCCCCTTCGCCAGCTTATATAATTGAAAAAAAAAATGAACGGATGGATGGACGCGGTCTGAATAACTGTTGCAAGGTTGAGAGCTTTTTCGCTGACGCAAGAAGGACGCAGGACCTTTTGGCCACCCACCGCCTCACGATGCAACTTCCACTACACAGTAGAAACACATTTTTGAACTTGAAAAGGGATTAATATTTCAGATGATTGAATGCGGAACGGCTGGCTATTGTGGAAAAATGTAGAACGAAGCATTTGGTTGCTGATATTTTAAAGTAACGCTTCTTAAATCTAGTAAAAATGAGGATTTTTAATTTCTAAATTAAATTTTTCAATATTTATAGGCTTTTGATGTAATACAATAATAACAAGTGGAAAATAATAGCTGATGATGGCATTTCCCTAAAGCAGCTCTTTTGTATTGAATGAAGATTGACTGAGTGAAATATTTAAAAAACCTTGAGTGCAACTTTGAGGTAAAGCCTTTCATAATTCCTATGTTTTGAAGTGCTGCTTTTTTATTTTATTTTTTTAATATTGTTTTCTGTGCTGCAGCTAGTCACTGCTCACCAGGTTGCCCTTTTTGCAGGTTCAGGCACTGCGGCTGACAGCTAAATGGAGTGTCACCGCCGTTTAATCAGCTGCAAACGCAAACATGAGGTGGAAATGGGGGTGTTTTCCGAAGGGGGTCGCTGACAATCTCAGATTAGTGTCCCCATATTGCGTCGCAGTGGATCTGTTCTGTCCGCATTTATGCCTAGGGTCCATTACGGGGTTAGCCCGTCCTTTTGTGACAGTCGCACGTCCGTAAGCCAGTTAAGACAGGTCCCGAGCCCATGGGGCAGCTCACCGCCGGGGTTACCTTGCCAGGTGAGCTGTAACCAATCCGTCGGTGCACTTCGAGAAACACCAAGTGATGGGGCAAAGTGTGTTTTGAAAAAAACCCCATCAAAATACCAAAAACTTTGTATTATACAGAAAAATTTTGAAATGTTTACAACTTATAGGAAAATACTTAACAAAAATGTTGACAAATATTATAATAATAACTACCTAATGGCTAAAATGTAGGTAGTAGTAAAATATAATGTAGAACCATAAATAAATTTAATATATGAATATTATATTCAAATAAAAAAGTAACAAAGAGATTCTACTGAATCAATTAATTCAATCTTCTGCAAACTTCTATAACTCGATGTTTTCTAATTATAAATAAATGCACGATATAACAATGCAATAACTTGCAAAGTTATTTTGTCATATTTCTCAGCCGAACCACCCCCTTAATTTCTCTCAGTGGGGCACCACCAAACCGCCCGAGGTGAGTCTGCCTGTTGTCTAGCATCGGTTGAGGTTTAGACGCTTCCATTTTCATTGTGGCACGCTTAGGCAGAGTGATGAGATTTCTTAACTGCGATTTGTGTCTATTTTTGGAATGTCAGAATATGGGAATAAGGGATGTGGCTGGGGAACGGGATAAGTCCCATACAGATAGACCCGAATAAGTTGTGCCTGGGGAATACCAGTCAGCTGAATGGCAGCGAAATGGGAAACCAATCGGACCGAATCCACCATCGGATCGCCTTGAGCCTTGAGAGAATTATATTGCAAAAATGATTCGATTTGTGGATAATCATATTGAGAGTTTTCCCCACAAAAGAGCCGCCCTTTATGAGGCGAGCAATATCAGTGGGCGGCTGTTCGATTCATTAATAAGTACCAATTATTAAGTGCTTCCCTAATTGAAATTTCCTGCGGCTTATAAAGTTGTTTAGATTGTTTCGCCAGCGTTGTGGGCATGGAATTTGGTAATCGCCCCAAACTGTTTCAGAGAGTTTTTAATGGTTTCAGTTGGGAAACAATTTAGTAAAGCTGTTTAAATAAATATAAATGTGGTAGAAAATGGTATTTATTAAAATGTTTCCTGATAAATTTGAACACAAAGTTTTCTTGACCGAGACTTGCCATAATTTTCACTCAAGTATTTCATGCATTTTCTATTAGCACCAAAGTTTTGCCATGGGTTTTACATATATTTTTTTCCATTTCCTTAGCCCATGGAATACCAGCCGTTTGGTCAATCAAAAGTCAGCTTACAATTTGGACGTGGGATAATTGAAATTGCCTTGGAGACTTGGCAAAGTTGGATTCAGAGTTTTCTCTTGTCTCTTCATTTTGCTGGGATTAGTTTAGTTGGCCACATTCCATTCGTGCTGCACTTTTCGGGTAAGAAAAGCAAAAGGCTGAGGCAACAGTTTTCCGAGAATTCTATGATAATAATAAAGTTTTCCTTTGCCTTCTGCTGCTGTCCATTTCGCACATTAACGCAACCGCTGCACAGTGGTCATAATCAACAGTCTGATTATTACAAGTTTTCTCATAAAATTTCAATAGTGTAATGAAACTAGAATTTAAAAAGAAACACTAAATCTGAGCAACGAAGCATAAGCAATTTTTTTATAATTAGAAAAATAAATAGTCCTTTAACTATTTAAGATATTTTTCTGTTTCTGTTTTCTATTTCAATGTTTTTTCAATAACCTTCTGATAAATACATACAGAAACTATCTGATTTCGAGTGCTACATTTATCATTTTGAACCACTGTGCGCTGGAAAAAATGGGGGCGGAAGGGCGCAGAGGTGGGCGGGGCAAGTACGCCCGAGAGATGGAGAGCGGTTCGCATTTTAATTTCGTTAAGTACCGTTATGGCCCGCGCCGCAAGTGGAATGCAATGGGAGCAGGTCCATAAATTACGCATACGCCGCGTTGGCCAGCAGTTTGAGCATTTTCGGCCACCTCGGGGGAATTGCAAGTGCACGGCCAAAAAAGTAGTAATAGATCACATTTGTTGTCTATTATTATCATTTTTTAATTATTAATCTATTGCATTACATTTCAATTAAATATAATCAAACGTTAATACGATTACAAATAGAAAATATATAAAGAGTTTATTTAAATACTATTGAGATTTATGATCTTACAATACTTTTACAATTTGCCTTTAAACTAATAAAAGCTTAGCATTAAAATGGTAAATAGTATTCAAATAGATTAATAAATTAGGTCCTAGTGCTAGCCCAACTTCGGATATATTTTTCCTCTGTGTGCATAAAGACTTAGAAAGAGATGTTGTTTTATAGACTTACATCTTGTAAACAACTACAGGTAAAGGAGAAGTACAAACATGATGAAATCAAATGCAGCAACGCATAAGGATTTAAAGAAAATATTTACTTTGAAATATGTGAGATTTTTCTAAAAATGTAATAATTGATCTTCTTAATAATCCTTTTTTGATTCATGAATAAATTTTAAGGAATGAAACAACTTGTGGCCTTTGTAAAAGTTTAATCTATTGTAATATTTGCTACTTGCGGCGATATTTCCACTTAGAAAACATGATAAAATGACCGTATTTAGGGGGATTTTCTTTTTTCAGTGTGGATAAGGACATTAGGGGCTTTGGTGGACTCACCTCTGGTGAACAGGACGAGGTGCAGGAGGCACTCCAGGGCGGCGCCGTGGGATTTGTATCTGTACCGGGGCTTGTTGCTCGCTGCCATTTGAGCTTCGATTTACATGTTCGCCGGATCGCCGGCTTTCTGTTCCTTTTAACTCGTTTTCTTTTTGGTCCGGTCCGCTCGAAAAACACAAACAAGGTGGCTAAGCACACGGAACAATGAAAAAAATAGCTGCTAGTTCTGGTCAATTATTCAGCCCGTTGTCGCTGCACTTGTCCCATGAATATTTCAAGTGCGCCCTGCAATTAGCCACACACACACAGATAACGTTACCAAAACAATTACAATTATTACGATAATCACACACACACGTACACCTTTAAAAAAAAATTCTACTAAAACACTTGGAAAAAAAATGCGAAATAATTGATGCAATTGAACGTTGACAAAAATGCGCGCCAAAAATTGGTTCGCGCTTTGGGGGGGCAGTTGAAAAGGGGGCGGGGCAGTCGCACGTGCGCTTTTGTCGAGCGCCAGAAACCAACTGAATTTATATTGTTGGCCAAGTCCCGATTGGATTGGCCCACAGAAGATAACAGCACTGTTAAAGTCAGAGCAGCAAATGTAAAAAACAGCTCTGTCCTGTTCCAACAAATCCATTCTTTAGACTAAATGTGTTTTTTAAGAAATTGTATAAGTAGTATTATCTTTGTACCCAATTAAAATAAGTTTAATAAAAGACATAGATTAATTTTTTTAATGTATCTTCCCCCGTAACTTTCATACCTTAAACTTGTTTTATTGGCAAAGTGCAAAAATTGATTTCCTTTAATTTATTATTTTCTCGCAGGGAGCATTAAAAAATGGACAGATCCATCCGTAAAAAGGTCAAAATGGCATCACTGGTCTGTTAACCTTTTGTAACAGAGGAAAAAGAGCGGTTAATGTTAAGATTTGAATGACTCTGTGGTTTACCCAATAAATCATTTTTAATTGCTTAAATAAATGAAATTATTAAACAGCTATTATGAGTTTACCGTGTACATTTACAACAATTACAAATATAAGTGTATGTATACGCATATATACATATATAGTACATTGTTATCAATAATTGTATTAAAAAATATTCAATATGCAAATAACTGATTTCAATTATATAAAACACTATTTACTCACAACTATATATATTCATAAAAAAGTTATTTAATTTCCAGATAAGTACTTAAACTGAAATACTACAATTTCGCGTTTATTATTTGCTTGCTTAAAGATATCTATATTGATAACAACTTTTATGCTTGTTGGGTTTGAACTTAACGTATTTTTCTAATTTAGTACAATTTAAGGCAAGCTGGCAACGCCAATTTTAGAACTATGTTATTTAACTGTTAACTGCTCTGTTAGCTGTAATATTCCAATTAGATTTCTCAACACTGCCTATCGGCCTTTCTACTATCGATAATACTGACTGTTATAATTTTGAGTTGGCGCGCTGTTAAGCTAATGAAATTCAAAATTCCTGTTAAAAAATGTAAACTTTTTTGAAAATATCAACAAAAGACAAAAACAATTAACTTTTCTAACTTGTTTGCCATTACAATTGTAGTGTTTTTCCACTTATCTATATCCTAGATATCAGTAAGTGAAAAATGTACAAACTTAAAAAGTACATAAACACATTTAAAACCGAAATCATAAAAAATCCGATGCCCAAAACCAAAACATATAAATGTCTAAAGAAATTAAAACCCAAAAATACTTGTTTGAGTCTGAAAATGCAAGGAATAAATTGAAAGACAGGTCGGTGCTAAAAATAAATTCTAGTTGCCAGGCGGGCATAGCGGCTTTTGAGTTTTGCTGACGTAGAAACATACCTCAGATAACCAGTTTTGAACAGTTTACAGTGGAATTTGGTTGATAGATACTTGAACAGTTCAGCGGAAAAGTGATTGGAAGCGTCAGTCATTTATTTTTCAAAATCACACGTGAATAATAAATGTTTGCAATAAAATGATTTCTACGTTTTTTTGAATACAAAACGATTATCTGAGAGTGTATAAAAATATATATTATATTAAATATATTAATACACAATAATTTGATGTTTTGATTCTCTTTGAATTCCGGTCAAATGGTCATTTGCCATTTACGTAGTGCCATGATCCAAATTAAAAATACAGATTTGAGGTGTCTGGGACTGAAACTGTTATCTGATATACACTGTATTGTGTTTTTGTCGAAGCTGTTTTTTGGGGCAGACAATCTTACGCTTTTATTGTTACTGTTTTATCAGCTGTCTGCCAATCATTTACATAAAATCGAACGATCGTGTATATATGTGTAATTTTGAGCTGACCATGTTCTTCTTTTATTTGGCATTTGGCTGAGAAACCCGAGAATAATTGATTTAAAATTGCTACTTCAGTTTGATTGATTGGCTCTGGGGAGAAGCAACAACAAAAAAAAAGGGGGGAAAGCCCCGGTGAAAGGGAGTACTTAGCAGGAAACCAGCAATTTGCCTGCGGCGCCCCCATAAATCAGTTTTAATTTAAATTATCTGCCCTGCTCGCTTATTACTTATCGTTTCACTTGGCCTGGCCAATTTTTTGTGTTTTCATATTTTTTGTTGTGATTCCAGGGACTTTGTTTAAATTGGTTGATTTGTTTAAATATTAAGCCATAAATATTTGAACATGTCAAATTGTCCGGCAATCACAAGATAAATATTTGCTACCATTATCGTGATCACAGTGCCTGTGGTCATAAAAAGCAAACCACAATCCGTTGCTCGGATTTCGTTAATTAAAGTATTGCGAACCGATCCGATTCGAGCCGAGTACGAGTACGAGTATTATTATTATTATTATTTATTTGGAGCCGATCGGGCTGCGTGGCAGCGGCGTGCATCGCCCTGTTGATAAGTCCAGGGTTCAAGACCCAAAACAGAGCGCCGGGTATTAACATTCAACATTCCGCTCGATATCGCATAATTTATGCACCTCTTCCGCTGAAAAAGTGGCAAAAGTGGCAAAAGAGACAGGTGGACAGGTGGATGGAGAGAACTGATAAGCTTCTGGCCCTCTCTTTGTGTTTTCGGCTTTCGGCTTCTGGCTTCTGGCTTTTGGCCAACTGCATTCGCGATATTCGCACCGATTCCGATTCCGATGTCCGATGTTCTGTGCTAACCAAACAGAACGAAAAACAGAAATTTCATTAACGAAACATTTGTGTTTACCTTATAAACATACCCTTTCCCAGCAAAGAGTCTACATGATTCTTAAAACACTTTAAAAAATTGGTTTTATAAAAAAAATAAAAATAATAAATTTAATCAATACAAATAGTTTTTAATACATATTAAATTTAATTTCACTAAAATAAAAAAAATTATCATTTCAATTCATAAGATAGTTTTTTCCTAATTACTTATATATTATTACGTAATCTATTAATTATAAATATAAACTTGAATTCCTTTAGTCTTTGCATTTTTATAAGATTTATCAGATTTATAGTGTTCAGTACAGTGTCATTGACAATTTATATATTTATAACATTGACAATTTATATATATTTAAAAAATTTAATTTGGATCTTAGTTTAAAACTTAAGTTAATTTAAACTCTCTAAAAATTGTCTATAAATAAATATGTATGTATTAGAAGTAGGAACAAAAACGAAGAGTTAATATCAAAAGTCCCCCCAAATCGCTAACGCATGAAACGTGATTGGCAATTTTAGTCAGATTAGTAGATTCATAAATAAACAAATTAAATTGTTTACGCTTTTGGTGGTTTTACGGTCTTTTCATTTCTTATTTTTTTTTTTAGTGCTAAGGGGATTCCGGATCAGGGTATTTGAGAGGCCAAGCGATGACAAATTGTGCTCCTCACTTCTGTTTTTATATAGCATTCACCAAGAGCCCCCGTTCACCATCCGCCCCGTGTGCCAATGTCAAGTTCGTTGCCAATGTCGTTCGATTCGGGGAGAAAAAACGCGAGAGACACAGATAGTGCGGGGTCGCGGGGGGTCGGTGGTGTGAGGAGGGGTGAGGAGGGGTCAAGCGAGGGTGTCGCCGGATCGATTAGACGGCTAATTGCGTTCAAAACGCCGCTCACAGCGGGACCGCGGTGGCGTATACGTAATCGCCAAAAACGCCGAAGTCGCGTATACGCCGCGTACTCGTATTAATGCAAACAATAATTTTTAATTTGCAAATTATGGTTGCGCAAAAAGCAGGGCAAGAGCATAGCATCAATTTCAGTCGCCCAACGAACGCCGAACCAAACGGACGTGTTTTTTCACATTTAGTTCTTTTTTTTGTGTTCCCATTCATTTCTTCTCTTGCCAACCAACGTTAACGAAAGAAAAGGAATGGGTTTTTTGCAAATTTGGCAAAAACAATACGAGTACGGGGAACACACAAGACTCTCGGCCGTTCGAAACTGATAAGTGCAACTTGTGAAATTGATACTGGAGCATGAGCCCTTGATTGAAATGCGCGGAAGTTTCCACTTGTCAAACAGTCGGAGCTATCAGAGGCGCAGGCCAACCCCAACGCCAACCCACAGGTGTCCAAGTGGTAGTCGACGACGTCGCCACTACAGCTAATTGTGGGCCATTAATTGATTGGCAGCGAACAGCGAACAGCGCACCACCGGCTCCATCGACCCGACACGCCCCCCTTTTTTTTCAACGGCGGCATCCTTCCAAAAAAAAAAACCCAATTAAATAAAAACCCAATAAAGCAATAAAGTCGAAATGAAGGGCCAGCAGGAGGAGCAGCTGGTGCCGCCGGCCTACAGGCCCACAGTCATCAGCAAGGAAAAGGACACGGAAAAGGACCCACCCGCGAAAGAGAAGCCGCTGGGCGAAGGGCGGGTGGCGGTCCTCCGGCAGGAGCTGATGGTCTTCCTGGGCAACAGCGGCGTCCTCGGATCCGGAATGGTGGTCAGCATGCCCGCCGTCACTCTCACACAGCTCCACGACGAATCGCAGCCCTTCTGGCTCAACAAGGACGAGTCCAGTTGGTTTGGTAAGCACACTGGATATGGCCAAAATGGGTCATCAAACCAAAAGTAGAACACTTTCTTCAAGAGTGCAAGGCTTACAAATATTAAACAAAAAAGGTTTATTGATCTCAAAAAAAAACAATCAGATCTAAACAATTATTCTGTGATTTTTATTAATGAAAGAATGTATGATTTTTAATTTTTTTGTGGTGCCCAAGGATCATAGAGGGAATATAGAAAAACGCAGAATACACTCCAAAGTATTTAATTAATCAACAAAGACCACTCTTAAATACATTTAAACTATTAAAGAACATTTATATTCATCAGTTGTAAAGGCAGCATTTATTTAGGTTTAAAATATTTAAAATGTAGGATGCGCTAAGTTCTCATCATCATTTGAAAGATTGTATTAGAAAGAATCTTTCAAGATAAACCGAAATTTTAAATTATGATGAGAACTTAACGCATCCTACATTTTAAATGTGTATATTAATTGGTTTCTCTGTTTTTTTGTGATTTAAAAATTTGTGATTTGTGATTTAGAATATTTGTTGACCCTTAAGTGATACCTATTTACCTATTGCCATAAGAACTGTGTGATCTTTCGGATTCCCCTCGTTCCAGCATCCATCCAGAACATGGCCTGTCCTTTGGGAGGACTTCTGGTCAGCTACTTCCTGGATCGCATTGGCCGCAAGTACACCATCCTGCTGACGAATTTAATAGGACTCATTGGCTGGATACTGCTGGTGACCAGTTTCATGCACTCCGATCGCGACATGATCTACTACCAGATGCTGGTGGGTCGCTGCTTTGGCGGCATAATGATCGGGATGTTCGTGTCGCCGGTGGGCGTGTATTCCGCGGAGATCAGTTTACCCAGCATACGGGGTCGCTTGATCCTGGGCACTTCGCTGGGATTGGCCAGCGGCATCCTGTTGATGTACGTCCTGGGGTATTTCATACGCCACAACATCCAGCTGATATTCGGCATCAGTTGCTGCTACCAACTGGTTGCCACCCTGCTCGTCTTCCCCATGCCGGAATCCCCCAGCTGGCTGTTGACCAGGGGAAGGGAGGAGCGGGCCAGGAAGTCCCTCAGATACTTCCGCGGTCTGCCCAAAAAGGGTAAGTCTTTAAATATTAATAATAATATAATAGGGGAATTTTTTTTTAATTTTGAAATACGTTTTTTCATCTTTTTCACATTTATAAATAACTGGCAAACATGTCTCACTTCCTTAAAAACAAATTTCTCCATTTTTTTGTGAGCTAAATTAACTTAATCAACCATTAACAAAATACAAAATCATCTAGCAATCTGAGCTGCAATTTTAAGAAATTAAAGTGACTAAATGAGTTGGGGCGGTGGAAAACTCTGACAATCCATTTGGAAATCAGATACTATTCAGCTAATGCCTACATTGACCTTTATCGTATGCCAAGTAAAAAATGAGTAGTTTTTCATGCGAAATGTTTTAATGAGTATTTTAAGTTCAGGCAGCAAAATATCAAGGTGTAATAAATATAATTATTATATTAATTAGCTTGGTTGCAATATCCGTTATCTCAATTGCAATTAAAGCTTAAAATTGAAGTTTTATATTTTTTTGTTAGCCATTTTGTAACCTATTTTAACTTTTGAATATTTTTTTGTGAAAATGTAAATTGACTTTTAATGTTTTAAACAAACTTTTCACTCCTTGATATATTTACTAAACCTCCAAATTTTCTATTTACAATTTTGTGATTATTTTTAGATGGGTTTTAAGTTAAAAATGTTTGCGAACACATTAAACTGATGCTTAATAAATATAATTATTATATTAATTTGCTTGTTCGCGATATTCGTTATCTCAATTGCAATTCAAGCTTAAAATGTAAGTTCTATATTTTTTTGTTAGCCATTTTGTAACCTATTGTAACTTTTGAATATTTTTTTGTGAAAATGTAAATTGACTTTTAATGTTTTAAACAAACTTTTCACTCCTAGACATATTTAATACACTTCCAAATTTAGTATTTACAATTTTGTGAATATTTTTAATGAGGTTTAAGGTTAAACATTTTTGCAAAGACATTTAACTGATGCTTATTTTCTTTTGTCGCTTTATTTAGAGGTGGACTACGTGCCTGAATTCGAGACGGAGCTGGCGCACATGAAGGAGCTGGCGGACTTGAGCAACTCCACCGCCGCGGGGGAGTCCCTCAGCCAGATGATCCACCGACCGGAGGTGTACAAGCCGGTGCTGATGATGACCACGTTCTTTGGGTTCCAGCAGGCCTGCGGCGTGGTGGTGATCATCGTCTATGCCGTGCAGATTGCCCAGCAGGCGGGCGTCACCATAGATCCCGTCCTGGTGGCGGTGATGCTGGGCGTGGCAAGGATCATCACCACGCTCTTCATGAGCGGCATCTTCGAGAAGTGGGGACGCAAGCCGGCTGGGATTTTCTCGGCCACCGGAATGGGCTTCTGCATGCTGCTGTTGGCCGGTGGCAATTGGTTTCCGGACACACTGGGCACCTGGCATTGGTTGCCGGTGGCCTGCATTGTGGCCCACATCGTGTTCTCCACCATGGGCATGCTGACGCTGCCCTTCTTCATGATCTCCGAGGTCTTTCCGCAGCGGGCACGCGGCAGTGCCTCCGGCATAGCCATCTTTTTCGGCATGATCCTGGCCTTCATCATGCTGAAGATCTATCCGAATATGGAGGCGGTACTGGGCACAGCCAATCTGTTCGCCTTCTATGCGGGCATCTCATTTCTGGCGGCGGCCTTCATTGGCACCTTTGTGCCGGAAACGAGGGGCAGAACGCTGGAGGAGTTGGAGGAGCGATGGCAAACTGGCAAATTCACACGAAGGCTCACGGTCAACAATCTGAAGGATGTGGAGCTGCACGAGGTGTTCCTGAAAAAATAATTACAGAACAAAATATTACTAATGAAAAACAAAGGACAAATTTGGGGGTTATGGCAATGTTCCACTGACACCTTCGAATGCATTCACAATTAAAAAGTAGAATTGATGGGGATAACTTTTTAATTCGTTAATTATATTTTGTTAGTAAATCCACTAACATAAAAAAAATGTAAGATTTCTTCAGTAACATTCTAATTTTTGCAACTCAAATCACTTAAATTCACTAGTTAATCCATTATTTTTATAATTTAAATGTGAAAGTCGACGAATTTGGCTGTGGAACTCGCAATTCCATTAGGGTATTCAATCTGTGATGTGTTAAGTACTTAGCCTTGGCAGCCATGGAATGCGGCAATTAGATACACAATAAAACCATTTACCAAGTAAACAAGAGTCAATTGAAGTGCATGTTGCAGATGCGATCGATCGTTGAAAATGATGCAGGGCATATTGCACAATTTCACACATTTTTTTTTTTTTTTTTTTTTATTTTTATACTTTTACACCTTGTATTATTATTAATAATAAACACCATTGTATATTGCTATTTGCAACGAACAACATTACAACACAAACAAACCATTTTTAATCATTTCTGGGTTATTGCAATCTTTTGATTTTCATTCGTTTAAACCTCGAACGATCGGAAATTGTTTTTACGACTGCCTTGTTGATTGAAAAATTAATCAGCGGATTTGTTGGCAATTGGAGTGTCTGTAAAAGATAACAAATTGCAAATGGAGCACTGATATGTGGATTCCAAAGGGAAATCAAAGCGTTTCATTTGGAAAAAACACAAGTTAATTCGAATGGAGAATTCCGCTTAAAAATGTGATTTTATTTCAGTAGTAGTATCAAATTGATTTGATAAACTATCTTTTTAAGTTTTAATACATCTTAATTTAATTTCTATATTTTGCTTTATTTGTAGTGATAGTACTTTTGCTTAATGCTTATAATTTTATTCTTAGAGACTGGATACGACTATCCTTGCATAAATTCTATCCTACATAAATACTAACAGATTTTTAATTATTTAATATTTAGTTATTCAAGAATATGTAGAAATAAGAATTCGGCTCAATATACATCTTAAAATATCACCATAACCACTTGTTAAGGGTATATTTCCGAGGTGATTCAAGTGCCTGTTATTCTCCAGAGTAATTGGCACGTGGCCATTCCCGAGTCGGGCCCACTTTCTGGGGGGGAATGATGCAATGCAATCAGTGGAGGGCCCAACCCTCCAGAGAGTCAACCTTGAAGTAGTCCATGCGGGAATCCAAACAGTCAGTTAATGTTAATGCTTATCGCCACTTGATATTGATAGTGTCCCATCAATATAGACCGATTGCCGGTGGGAGTGCGTTCGTGACACGATGACGGATCGGGGATCACGAATCACGGATCACCGATCACGGATCACGGATGGGGGATCACGAGGCGAAGGATCGGGAGTCGAGTGAATGTAGTGGCTCTTATCGGAGGAATTGCGTGTTCTGACGCAATTGCGGACACTAATTGGAGGCGTTGCGAAAACGTGTCGTGGCTATCAGCACCTAACGATCCGGAAAAATAAATTCCCATCCAAGCGCTTTGTTTACCACTCGTATTGATATCAAAATATATACTATATACAACCGATACACTTGTAATTCATCCAGAATTGGAAATGTTGTGCTTTGTTTTTCTTTGTTATTTTAGTTTGTGGTCCCCCACTCGAGATAAAAATATCTGCGATGATATAATTAACCAGGTGAGACATCCTCGAGCAAAGGGCAAATGAAAAGAAGTGACTTGTTACAGCACCACCATTCAAGTGATTTGTTGTTGAACACTAATGATAACGTTTTTTGCATTCAATTGCCGGTGACCGATAAAGAAATATTTGCCATTGATTTTTGAACTAAATCTAACCATTGGTTTGCGCATTTATGAGGCCCAATGCGAACATTTAAAAAACCGCTCAAGCTATAATCAAAGTTGTATTCAAGTGGCAACCTTGGATATTCCCCAAAACGTAGATAATGTCTAGTCTACTATATAAAATGTGATTTATTAAATTAATTTTACGCTTATAATTGTGCGTTTTGTTTTCATTTTGTTGACAGTTCTTAAATTTGGGAAAGCATTTTGAAAAAGTGTTTTTTTAAAAAGCAAAGAAACTAGTTTAGCTCTTTTTCAACCATATATAAGTCGAATAAGTCGACTTTACGGTTCTTTCTCACACATTTTATATGTAAATATAAACAGATATATATAAATACACATATAAAAAAATGTATTAAAGATTAAAAGATTTCAACGATCGCTGTTATCGACACAAGAGTGCTGTTAAGCTGTAGCAGTGCTGTTAACCGCACTGTAAAGTGTTGAAATATACCATCACTAAGAAAAAATGCCGTTACTTTTGCGTTCTGTTTGAATTTTAAATGTTCTGTCGTTTATTTGTTCTTTTTGTAATGTGACATTCTTAAGTACAACAATTAGCTGCTAGTTTAATATATGTATGTATATATGTGTTTTTGTATAAACGAGTTAAAATTCAAGTTGTTCTTGCTGTTTTTTTGTTACTTTCGTGTAGTTTTACGGACTACGAACATTTTACGAGTCTATCTGCTGTCTGCCTGTGTGTGTGTTTGTCTCGTTTACATGGTATATTACGGTACGTTACGTTATTACTTTTAAATATTTAGTTATTTCAAAAAAAAATTCCGCTCGAGGGCTTAATAGTTATAATATATATATATATATACGTTTTGTATACGGTATAGTTAATATAATTGGTTTGTCGAATATATTCCCTTTGTTTGTTGCTTGCTATTTAATCTGTTATTTTGTTCCACTAAACTTGTTCTATGTATGAATGTATATTGCTTTTAGGTATGCATTTATTTGTAGGCATTTTGTAGTATTCTTAATTGTCGATTTAAATCTTTATCTAATTCTGTTTACCTTTATTCTGTCGTTTTAGTTGGTGTTCGGTTTTTAAAAAATCTTTCATAGGGCAGTTCACGTTTCAAATACAATCATCGCCATCCGATCGTGTGTTAACCTCACTACGCAAAAAAAATTACCTCACCTCTTTGGGCGGTCGTATCTTCTCCTCCTGGTAGTTGCCGTTTGTTTAAATCTATGTATACATATCTCTATATTCTTTTATTCCTTGAATTGTATATATTTTTTCGGTGTTTTTTTTTTTATTTTAGATGAAAGATGCGCGTTACATGGGGCACTACATTTGGGGATAGGCAAAAGGGAATAGAGCAGATAGATGGTCGAAATTGAAACCACGAAATAATACCAAAAAGTTTCATAGGAAAAGCGCCTCTAAATCTTTCTAATACTTTTCTCTCCTTCAACCGAAGCAGAAAAAGAATAAATCTATATCTGAATCTGAACCTATATCTGGGTTTCACTAATCTTCGCTTTGTTGAGGTTCTTTTCAAGTCATTTGTTTGTTTTTTTTTTTTGTGTTTTTCTTGTATAATATGTTTATATAAAAAACGCTTTGTCTTATGCTAGAAAAAAAATTGTATGCATATTTCTGGTATTTTGGTTTTTCTTTATAAAAAGATCTTTATCTTCTAGACACATTTACTTTGATATAAAAAAATGTATAATGTATATTTCTGTTACTTAACACTTTTCATGCTTTAAGTTTTTATTGAACAACATTTTAAATGTATTTGCGATTAGGTTTTCTGTGAGGTTACCATGTTCTACAACGTTAGTTATTAAAAATACCAAAAAAAAAACTTTATTCAGTTGCTGCGTCCCCATTTGGGTCTCGGTTTTACAACAAAATTAGCTTGGCTGCTTATGAGTAAAGAAAAAAATTGTCTAAAGGATTACGAGAAAAAAAAAACGTTTAAAAAAACAAGTATATTTATGATTTTCCTCATTTCACATGCTCAAAAAATAGTCACAAAAAAATATTCCATCGCTTCGATATTCAAGAAAAAAAATAAATTAATATTTATTTTTGGTTTGCCTTGGCTTAATCTAATTACACGAGACAATCGACCACATGCTAAGGTGCTATATGTATGAGTTCTCTTCCGATTAATCCGATATTCGTTTTGTATATCCGCTTACTCACTAAGGCTACATTGGTTGAGACTATTTGCATTCGATTTAAGTGAGTTTTTTGAAAGCATCTCCGGATTGGAGGGGCTTCAGAATGAATGTCGCTTAGATATTGATTTAATAATCGTTTTCGATTTTGTGTATAATTATTCGGTACCGCTAATGCGCACTCTCCATATATTTTCATTTTGTTTTTTGAATCGTTATATATAGTATTCAGCACAACCAAGCTGTAAGTGTTTACTGTGTCTGCTTCTCAACTTGTCTTCTCAAGTTTCGCTTAAAGCTAGTTTTTATTTAATATTCTTAATTCGTTGACTAAATACGCCACACAAACTCTGGGAAACATATAGTAAAACATAATCATAAATATAAATAAAAATAAAAGTCAGGGATAATGTTGTTTGTGTCGAAAATGTTTATTAAGTTGCCTTAAATAATTGTTTTCTTATTTTTTGTAAGTTGTTTTAAGCCAGAGACATGATAATAAAATAATGAAATAAAATTGAAATTGAAATTCAGTAATATTGTTTTTTTTTAACAAATTAAAATTTTTTACAATGTTTTTTTTATAAGTAATTAATAAAAGTATTGATAGAATTTAGCATGAAGGATCATCGCATATTTTTAAGTTGTTATAATTCTTTTCTTCTTCCATTAATTTCTGAACCTACACCGAAAAAATATTTGTTGTTTGCAGGAGGAAGTGACTGGCCGATTTAGAATGTCGAAAATCGTGTTTAGTGAATATATAAAAACCAAAAACTTAAAATAAAATACAATGTTAAAACATTTACGATGGAGTGTTCTTTTTTAAATAGATAAGTTTAGATAACCAAGCCATGTCACTCCTATGATTTTACGTGCTTTTTTTCTTTGCTTTCGATTTCGTTTCTATTTTCTCTTCTACTTTTTTATACTGTTTCCTCTTATTTCCGTTTTGTCGGGCAGTTTATCACGTTTTTTTCTTAATCGTTTTTGTATGTTGTTTCTTTTCGTTTTTTTTTTGCTGCTACATGCTCAAGTCCTTTAGTAAAATAAACTAATAAAAAAATGGATTTCAAAAAAAAGTATTTATATTTAGTAAAAAAAAATACGTATTATTCATTAGAGCTATGAAAAAAATTGGGTTTGTATTGTAATTTTGTCTGGATCTCTTTCTCCTTCTCTTACTCAAGCATATTTCTAGGTAAGTGTTTCGTTTTCCTTTTAAATGTATCAATAAACAGCCTGAAAACTTGAGCATGTCCAGCCATTTCGTTACGTATAATATAGACAAAAAAATTGGATTTATAAATAATGAAAAAAATAATATATATTCATATTGTATCTGGTTTTACTTCAGCTATAAACATACACGATGCCCGTGTACGTTGTTGCGGCATAGTTCGCGCCAAAAAAATCAGTTTTAGACACAGAGAAAAAAAAATCAATCAGAGCTTATGCCTCCACGCCTACAAGTATGCTATATAGTTATAGATATATAATGTGTGTGTTTGTGTATAATATATTTTGTTGTTTATATTTCTTTATGATTATACGTTATAAATATGTGACAAAAAAATGTGTTTCTCATAGGTTTTTTTTCTCTAAGTTTAAGCAAAAAAAAGATCGCCTTCTTCGTCGATATCTCATTCTATATATATCTGTATATATATAATTATTTATGAATTGTATACATATACGTGTCTTGTCTTATAGCTAGTTACAAAAAGAAAAAAAAGATTCCTCCCAAAAAAAAGCACAAAAAAAACCAACTACAACATAAGGGTTAAAGTGAGGAACATACAAAAAAAAATATATATAGGTAAATAATTCTTGGGGTTTGAGAACATAAAAATTTGGGTTTTTGTATATGGTTTCGATGGATGCTGATACTACAATGATCAATCAAAAGGTATTCATAGTTATATATACGTTTGTTATATATAATTTTTAATTTGAAGATTGCCTTCATCATTCGCTTCCCAACTCTCTGGTTATGTACGCCATAAGAATCCGACATTTGTGGGGTTCGTGGTTGATGCAGTTGCCGTTGTTGAAGTGGAAGTTGCTCCTGCCGCTGCTGATGTTGTTGAAGCTGCTGTGGTGTTGTTGAAGCTGTTGCTGAGATGCAGGTTTTGCAACTTGAGTGTTTGCTGATGCAGTTCTAGCTCAGTTGTCGACATATTAAAACTAAAGTCGTGCTCCGGCGAACTGTGGCGAATATTGGTGTGGTTGGTGTGATTGTTGGAACTGTTGTTACTGCTGTTTCCAACCAAGTTGCTGCTGCAGTTCTTGGTGTAACTACTGCTGCCAACTGCAATGTTGGTGAAGTTGCTGCTTGTAACTGCATTGCTGAAGTTGCTGCTGTTAGTTGAATTGTTGAAATTGCTGCTGGTAGCTGCATTATTGTTAAAATTTCCACTGTTGTTGTTGTAATTGCTGCCGCCAGAAAGTTTGTTGCTGAAGTTGCTGCTGCTAGCCGCATTGTTGGTAAAGTTCCCACTGCTAATGGTGCTGTTGTTAAAGTTTCCATTGCTTGTGGGGTTGCTGCTGCTGCTGGCGCCGTTGTTGTTGGTGAACGCACTAGCGGTGTTGTAACTGCCACTAAAACTATTGGAGTGATTGGAATTGTTGTTGAAGCTATTGTTATTGCCAATGGCAAGCAATTGATTGCCAAGACTGCCACTACTGCCATTAACGTGTGGTTGTCGTGATTGTTGTTGAAACGGCGGTGGCGATGACATAGTCATCGGTTGCTGTTGTGATTGTTGCTCTTGCGGTTGTTGCAATTGCAATTGCTCCTGAAGATAGTGAAGTGCGGCAACTCCATTCTGGCGGATGGTATTTAAGTTAATGCTATTGGTGTTTGTGTTGTTAATGTTATTATTGCTTCCATTCGGACTTATACTGTGAGCAGCAACATTGCCCAGGCGTTGTTGTAGTTGTTGTTGATGGTAATGTTGGTGATAGAGTAGCATGTTGTTATCGTTACCATTACCGTTGCCAATACTATTGTTGGTGTTACTAGTAAAGCCCAACGCCTGCTGCTGATGTTGTTGTAGTTGCTGCTGCTGTTGCGGCGTCAATTATAAGTAAGGATAGTGGTACTTCCTGCGGTACAGTCCGTCAAGCAAATCGGCAAAATTATCGCCTAGAGTACATCAAGGTGCGAGAGTAAAAAAAGGTTAGAAAAAGAAAATAAATTAGTAAAATATATCAATAGTGTTTAAAGTCGTCATGCGTCTATATTAACAAATAAATTGACAAAAAAAACACTTATTTTGTAACTATAAATATCCCTGAATGCTGCTAGAGCCCTGACTTAACTAGCCTAGGTGAGAGAGATTAATTAGGTTTAGTATTTCTTTTTTGCCTTCTTCTTGTTTTTTAGATGGTGTTGGGTTAGTGTTTATTGTTGTTTGTTTTTCTTGGTTTTTTCTTTGTTACTTTTGGTTAACTTTTGGGAGTTTGTTATAGTTTTAATTCAAGCTGAAGTTTTGTAATTGCATTATATTTATTTGGTTTTTGATTACAAAGGGTTTCCCACTCGATATAACACACAATTCAAGGGTTTTCGTAATTTTTATTAAACGTGCCATGTTTTCTTTTTCCATTTTAGTTTTTTGGGATGGGATGGGGACTTGGATTGGCGTTATTAAATTAAATTGATGACTGATCTAGTGATGGTCTTTTTATGTGTGTTTATGTTGTGACTGATTTGTGGGCGTATATAAAACACTCACATACAAATATTCAAGTGTGTTCAATGAACATAGCAAGCAAAACAAGTCGGTATATAGTTAGAGATTTAACGGTTTTTGGTTTAGTTACATTTTTATTAGCAAGAAATATTTACGAACTGGGGATCTTTAATGAAGTAATAAGAGTTTGCAGAGCAGACAAAGCAGACCATGAATGGATTGGATTAAACGAAAATCTATTCAAAAACACTAAACAAAACTTTCGAAACGGGGTGCTCTAGGAGAACGGTTTTTGTTGTAATAAAGGGTGAATGTTAGGCGCAAGCAAACTCAAGTTACGTTAGCAATTAAACTCTTTGAATAGCCAGCAGCAGCAATTTTAATTTAATTATAATTTTTTGTCATTCAATTTTGAGATCGAATCGTGTTTTCATCTAAAAGTACAATTTTTTTGGTAATTTTTTGATTGGAACTTTTTTAAATAAAGCTATATCTCCTTGGCCATTGCTCAAAAGAAAGCAGAATAAGAGCAAATGCCGAGATCCAAAGAAAACTTGTTGTTTATAACTAAATCGATTTTTTTTTAGAGAGAGATGGTTTAGTAGCTGGATGGTGGTATGAGAGAAAGTAACAAAGAAAAACATGGCACGCTTTAAAAAGAAAATTTTGGCTTCTTTTTCGAGTATTTTTTCTTTATAAATATATATTTTGTATAGACTGATGAGAAATTTAAAAACTGAAATTGAAGATTTATTTTCTATTTTCTCAATTATGTGGGAGCGCATGAGTGTGCGTGTGTTGTGTGTCTGTGTGAGTGTGCTCTCTTCTTGATAGACTCTACTTATATAGATTAAAAGCTCTGTTTTTGATCTCTCGGCTAGATCTGTCTTAAGGGCTCTCAACAAATAATAAAGCTCTATAGTTATTTGCTTTCCTGCTATCGAAAAGCAAGAATCTATGATAGTTTACGACTAGGAGTAATTTATTAGAAATATAAGTATATAAAAAAGGAATAATTACTATCGAGACCAAAGATAGCATCGCATATAGCATCAAATAATGAGCGTAATTTTTCCATAGCTCCGTCTATAATGAAAAAAGGAACGAAACGAAAAAAAAAATTGTACAACTTGGATTAGTTGCGGCGCATATTGAGTTTTTTTTTTTTTTGTGGGGTGGGTTGATTTGCTTGATTTGGATGAAATGGGGGAATAAAAAGATTGTTTTTTTTGTTTATAGAGATTATTCAATTATTAGGATCCTTTGTTTTTTCTTTTTTGATTTCTTTGTCAACAACAATCAATGAAATGAGTTTAGTCGGTCGCTTTTCCTTAGGATTAGTAAGGAAAAGTGATCGAATCGGGGTTAGTGCTGTGAGTAAAATTCAGTACAGTAGAATATCTACGGCAAGGGAACAACAAATGCGAAATACAATGGGAAACACAAACTACAGGTTTAACTTGGAAACGAAAATCCAGTAACTAAATTCAAGCTAAAAAAAATTAAACCAAACTAAAAATGAGTCATAGATGTAAATCCAAACTGTCTTCGGAGGAATTGTCCGAAGTACGAAAATATTCTTGCTATTAAACAGTTGAATCTTTAATGCCTGTTTACGGTGATGTTTGCATCGCAAGGATATCATTTGTACATTTGATTCGCATTCTCAAAAAATGAACACAAAAACGTTGCATACTTTCTGATTAACATTGGAAACGGGAATACAGTTTTATATGACTGATTTTTTGAACTGAAAAATGTCTTGACAGACTTTTTTGTAGTTTCAAAAATTAAGCAGCGTTTTGATTTAAAATAGAATCATCTTTTAAACTAACTAAAAATTTTAAACTAAATATTGTAATACTCAAAAAAAAAGTTTGCAAATGATACTATATATTTCTGATATTCAAAACAACAACAATAAAAGGCAAATAAAAAATATAAATTAACTTTTAAAATAAATTAAATGTTGGGTTAAGCTAAATCTACTAAAAAGTTCGAATTGAGTTTTTGCACATTTGTTGCTTGGATTTGGTGGAAATGATTGAATATGTAATTATATAAATATAGAATAGATTCCTTAAAAATCCACACTCAAAACACTGACAGGCACGGAAAAAAATATACAAAATAAATTTGGTTTTATTATATGATTATGCGTATTTTTTTTCTTTTTTTTCTGTTGGCGATCACTAGGCAGAGATGAGTAACAAAAAAATAACATAGCTTAGCACACAGATTTCACTTGAAGAAAATGTTATTATGATGTACACTGGCAAAAAAAGTTTAAAAAAATAGGTTTTTTTTTTCTTGCACTGGAACCGATAAAGGGGTGTATGGGTTCAGAGAGAGACCAGAAGAGATGGTCATGGGTTTGTGTCTTTTTCGCCGTTTTGTCGATCCATTCAGAAAAAAAAACATCACATTAAAAAAAAGAGAAAAAAAACAATGGGGATTTATGAGTGGGGGTTTTGAGGGGGTCTGTTTTTTTTATATAAGGGTGGTTGTGTGACTTTGGCAGCACCCCGTTATCGTTTCAGTTGAGTGCGCGCATACTTACCATGCGCCTTTCACTTCTTTCTAATCACTTTCACAGTGTCTCTGTCTGTCACACAGCCGTCCGCCTCTCTCTGTCTCTTGTGCCTGGGTACTGTAACTGTAACGGGAAATCTGCACTCGCGCTCTCGTTCGTACTAGCTCGCACGCACGGGTTGTAAATGGGGGGATGGTGATATCCTGCCAGCACTCACTCGCCATCTCTTTCTCTCGCTCCCAAAACACACGCACACATTCGCACACACACGCACACAAGGCAGATTAGCAAGATCAAAAATAAAAAAGAAAAACAAAAAAAGTAGTGGAAGGAATGTGGGAGAAAAACTTCCCGTTGTAATATGTAGCATCCAGGTGCATTTTCCAACACTGCATTTTTTTCAAATTTGCTTGAACTTGAAAAAAAAATAAAAAAAATTTGAGGTTTTGGTTTTTGTTTTTATGTTTGTTTTGCTTTTTGCCTTTTTATTATATTCGGTTTCTCTGGTCACACTTTCGGGGTTTTGTTTTATATGCTTGATTTTCGTTTTGAATGCTTTTAACGCACTACAAACTAAATAATTATTAAAATTTAACGCTATTTTATAGAATAGGTTTCATATAGTGAAATATATATGTATATTATAAGTATATCTAAAAAGTATTTTTTTTTGTAATTTTTCTTTTTTGTCGATATATGGGGTAAAAACTTGATGATAGAGATAAATTGGAAAACAGAAAAAATTGCGTTTTCTTGGTTGTTTCAATTTTTTCTTGTAGTTTTTCTTGCTGTGGATTGTAGTTGTTGTCGCTGGTAGAGATGAACAAATTATAACCAAAAAAAATAAGGTGGCGTGATTCGATTTCGATATTTTTAATGCAATCTAAAGATGCTGAAGAGGTGGGTGGAGAGCTAAAAGGAATTACAGGTTAATGCTCGGCAACGCTTTTGTAATTTTTACTCCATTAGATTTGTATTTTATATCGCCATTTATTGGTTTTCTTTTATAATTCAGTTCTGTTGCTTGGTTGCAATATTTATTCTTCATCAGTTGCCGTCTCGCACCAGTCTTTTGTGAACAGGAAAAAAATTTACAAAAAAAACTTTAGGAACCAAAAAAAATTGCACCCTCTTCGTTAATTTGGGTTTTGCTTTTGCAGATATATATTTTTTATGGTTTAGGCTTGATTTTTCTTTTTTTTTATTAGGTATCGATTCAGTCCATGGTTGGTTTATCTCTTTGTTGTTAATATATATATTTCATTATGTGCATTTCGGATTTAGTTTTTATCAAAAAAAAATTTTATTTTTACGCTTTCTCATTGTGCTGTTATTTTATCCTAACAACCTTTATATCCGGAAAAAAAATTGCTCCATTTTGGAACACACACACTAAAAAAAATTGTAAAAAAAAATGTACACTTTTACGCGAACTTTTTTTAGGTGCTCGATTTACGTTTCGCCTGAATGTGTGTGTTTAGTGAGTTGGTGTGTGTATGTGTGATCTGTTTTAGTAGTTGTGACAGAGCACAAAAAATAAAAGTTTACGTTCTAACCAAAAACGTGGATAATTTCTCTTTTAAGTTTAAAGTTAGTATCTAAAAATTACTTGTTTTTTTTTTATTTTTTCAAATAATTAGTTTTTGTATTTTTTTTTTAGGATTTTTGTAATTACTCTAAAAATAAAAAGTACAATTCAATTTTGTTTTTCTTTCCAAATATACGACATATATATTAGTATAATATATATGCACTGTTTTTTAATTGCAACAATCAATTGAATCATTTACGAATTACCAAGATAATATCAAAAAATTAAACTAATAATGCATTTATATTGTTGTTGTTGTTGGTTGTTAGTAAGTTATCTGTTTGTTGAATTGGTTTTTGGGCTGCTGTTTTGTTGTTGTTGTTTTTCAAATACCAAAAAAAAACAATATGAATCAAAGGTTTTAAGATGTATAACACTCTCAAGATGGTGGTAATATATCAATATATGGTGGGTATATAAACTATATACCCAAAATATCGCTCTTGAACATATATTTTTGTGTGGCTTGTGTGTTTGTATCATCTTGTATTCGTTTCTGGATTATTGTTATTTAGATAAACTTTTTAGCATCGAAATAGGGATGCGAGTTTTGGAAGCGTTGCTGTGATTTATTGATTGATCTACCTCTGTGCACCATATTGTTGAATCCGGCGGCCATATGCGGTGGCGGTGGTGGCGGCGGTGGTGGGACATTTGGCGCAGCCACGCCCATCTGCGACATAAAGTGTGCCGCCTTCGCCTTGCCATGCTCCTCGGCCAACCGGACAGACAGCGGCTGTGATCCGCCCTCGGGTATAACGTTGTTCAGGGCCGATATGGCCTCCTGGGCCTCCTCGCGCTTGTTGTACCTGTATAGTTTGATTTATCGATCGAAAATACACACCGAAGATGGCAAATGAGCGATGGTACAAATGAGAGAAAAGAAAGAAAAACACATGATGAGCGGTGTGTGAAAATAAAATTTGGCCAAGTGAAATACTTTCAATGATTCTGCAAGTCGAAATATTACATAAAAAACTTTAATTAAAAGTATTGCATTCATTTTTAAAACTTTTTTCAAAGATTTGCAAAATGTATTGTCACTGTAATTTTTTAATTTTGTTGTGGTTACAGAAAATTCGACTCAGAGAACATTGACTGTATGTATGAACACATTCTTTAGCCTCCCGATTGCATATCTTAAATATAATAAAATAACTTAAAGACGACTTACCGAACAAAGGCTACACCACGTGGACGACCAGTGAGCTTGTCACGCAAGATATTCTTCTGCACAATGGAGCCGTACTTTCCGAAGATCGTATCCAGCTGATCGTCGGTTATAGTGCGCGGCAGATTGGTCACATACAAATTGGTGTCCTTGATCGATTCCCCACCGGGGCGAGCATAGGAAACCTATTGGAAAACAATAAATAAATTAGTGATCGTTCTTTGATTAAATAGCTTGTTTTAAAGAACCCACCTTGAGCCGCTTGTTGCGCACTGTGATGCCATTCAGAACTTTAATAGCACGCTGCGAGTCCATTTCCGATGTGAAGTCCACGAAAGCATAACCAAAACTGTAGCCAGTCTGTGAGGGAAATAAGAGTCAGGATTAGTAAAGGTTATATCAAGTTAATATTTGATCAATCAAATCTGATTGATTTTGATTGCTTGGAGATTAGAAATCCGTTTGAAAAGGAAAGTACATAATCATTAATTACTTTAAGAGCAGTAGAGTAAATAGGGTGAAGGAAAGTAATGTCTTTAGAAGAATGTTTGATCATGTTGACAGACGATAAATAAAGTTACGCATAGGAAGCAGATAATAATGGATTGCATCGAAAACTCACCTTATAGTCTCTCATGATTCTGCACGTGTTGATGGGTCCGATGGCTCTGAATAGGGCGTACAGCTCGCGATCGGTCATGTCCTGGGGCAAGTAGTTGACAATCAGGTTGGTGTTGCTTGCCCGCGGATCGTTCATGAGATCGTCGCTACCGCCGCTGCCCAGCGACAGGCCGCACAGGTTGTTCAGCGAATTGTTGCTGGCCATCGGCGGCAGGTGGCACATGTTGCCGCCGCCAAGATTGTTGGCACTCCCGCCATTTCCACCGATGCCGCCGCAGCCGGGGAAATCATTGTAACCGCGACGCGACGAGGAACTTGGAAATGAAAATTCTGTATCCTGTGGCGAGAACGCATAACGTGACTGTAATCAGATTAACCATACAAAGATATTCTAGTGTTGTGAGAAGGCCTCATATCGCTTGTCTTGGGGTTGATTATTAGTAGATTGATTGGATGGTTTGGTTAGGATTTAGCTGCTGCTGCTGCTTGGTTGTTTCATTTTCTATCGGTATCGACGACCTCGAGAGATCAATATATATGCATATATATCGATCCGTTGCTTTCGGGCAGCAACAACAACACACAACTTAGTTAGTGAATGAGGTGGCGAAGGTTCGAAGTGGTTTAAAACGTAGAAATCTACGATAAAACTAACGGTAACAGTATTTCAAATGCAAATCTCCCGAAAAATTGTTATTAATTCTTTCCTTTTTTTTGTTTTTTTTTTTTGTGTTTAGTTTTTAAGGCGTGCTTGAAACTCAAGTGCAGCGTTTTGTATTGTATTTTATTTTGGATTTAAGCATTAAATCGAAACATTCTCTTGTTTCACTGTACTTCCGTGTATGATTTAATAGTAATTATCTGTGTTAGCAAAACGGCATTCACAGGGTTGCAAAAACCAAAGACAAAAAACATTGAATTTCAAGAAATGCATAAAATGTTGCTTCCCTTCTTTAGGTTTCTTAAGCTTCTTCAGTGTTGTGTGTTCGTGTTTTTTAGTTTGTATTTGAGGGTGTGTTTTGTGAGGCTCTTCAATGTCATTGAGTTAAGGGAAATACAGTGCGAGCTAGTGTTATAAGAACAATAAAATCAAAAAATTGAATCTTATGAAAATCGAATAAATTTCTTTCTGAAGTAATTTTAAATAAATACTTTTTAGCTTTGTTTTATTAAGATGTTTGAATTTTACATTATCTAAAGTAATGTCTTTCTGTAAGTGTATTTATTTTTTTGCCTATCACTGTGAGAAGTGCGCAAAACGCCAAACGGAAGCCGAAGCTGAGGCGGAAACGGAAATGGAAACAGAAATGGGACGGACAAGGTAGCTGGGTGATACCTAAAGGTTTTCTATTAAAAATGGTCTTTGCTTTTCATGGCTCATGCAGGTGTTTTTAAGTATTTTTTTCTTTTGCATGTGTATATCTGTGTTTCATTGTTTAGATATTTCTATTTAAGGGTTTTTTGGTTTTTTTTTAAAGAGTTATTTGTGTTGTTGTTGCTGGTTGGTTTTTGTTTGGTTTATGTTTTTTTTTGTTTCTGTTTGTTTAGGTTTTGTTGTTTAAATTGCAAACTTTAAGTGGTTGGTTTTTATTGTTATCAGAAACCAAAATGAAATTGTTCAGCATCCATAAAATAATTTAGTTAAGTTTTTAGTATTTGTTTGTTTGTTTTCAAAAGCGTGTGTCCCCAGAGCGTTCATGAGACAAACTCAATAACATACAACTATTAATAGAAAGGCATAAAATTTATATTATTATTGTTATGATTATCAAAAAACGAAACCAAACAAAACAAAATACAAAATCAGTCAATATCAAATGCATTGCCTTCAATTTGGTTTAAAATTTTTATCTTTTTTCGTTCTTCTTTTTTTGATTGCTCATGCAATTGAAAATGAAAATTTGTCGCTAACAATAATTATAAATTTCAGGCGTAAGAATGAGTTTAGAAAAGTGATGAATACTAACCATTCCGGATGGTAGAGAATGGGACATGCCAAATCCACGCCCACCGCTATAGGATGATCCATTTTGTTGGGGAAAAGAAAATATCGATTAGCACAGGGTAATGATGGTGTTGTTGTTTTTTAGTTTAAGAAAAATACTATTCAAAATTATCAAAATTAAATGTATAAAGCGCATTTTACTATATATTGTTTCTCTAATTATTTTGTAATTATCTTCAAAATGATTAAAAAATGTTTTGGCGTTGGATGATTGATGGTTCTTTTCTTATTGCTAACTTACGCTTAAATCTAACTTGCTTTTAATAAGGTTCGGCATGAAACAGTATACTGTCTACATACAAAATTCTCAATTTACTTAATATACTATTATTTGAAAGAGAAAACCATGAATGGTTATAAAAGAGAAAGACTGGGAAATGTGATTTTAAAGATTTTGCAGTGTCTTGGGGAATATAACACGGCTGACCCTTAAGAAGATCCCTCAGTTATATTCACCCTTGAATACTGCAAAGCCCCTTTAAAGTGAATAAATTTTCACTTTAAATAATGACACTTAAGAAAAGCATGATATATTTTTTTTTGTTAAACTTTCGAATCACCGAAAAAAAAGAAAAAAAATAATCATGGGATTATGCTATTAACCCATTATTGGACTCCAATAATAATAATATCGGACACTTTTTGTTGTTGAGGCACATTTTCACTTTAAAAAAATCAAAAAAATAATCACTTGTAGCACTTTTATTTCACATAAACAAAAAAGGATTATGGATTTTGAATAGTTTCGGACACCGCCTTCTTCCCACGTCGAATTTTGGTTGCAGATCGAATGTACTTCGTTTTAATGTCTAAGTTAGGGCTTAACATCGATTTGTATATAATTTATTTAGGATATTCCCCAATATTTCATTATGTTATTTTTTGTTTTTTGTTTTTGCTATAGTAGTCTTATAGTCTTGTTACTTACAGGGCGTTGGAGGCGTCCTCGATTCAAAAACATTTCGTTTCGTTGGCGAGGAGACGCTGGGGGGCGGAGCAGGCGCGTTTGCCCCCCGTGCAAATTAAAACTACATACTATCTAAAGAGTCAGTGAGAGTCTTTCGCTTTTCGACGGTATCGGTGGCTGCTTCTTTCTGGGCTGTGGAAAAAAATGTCTACACACGATTAAATTCAGCTGCGGTACAACGTCGATGATGGGCGTTACATAATTTTTCTGGAAGGGGAGTTTCGGTTCTTGTTTATGATTTGGTGTCTTGGTGTGTGTGTGTGTGGGCAGGGATTTTATGATTTGTATTTTGCACAATATGTAGGAAAAAAAAAAGTGAGACTTAACAATCTCAACGCTTCGCTGGCAAGGTCACACTAATTTGTGTTTCGTTTTGCACTATAAAAAAATATGCAAAAAAAAAGGTGAGACTGAAAAATCTCAATTATTTGTTGGCGATATTACACTGGCGAGTTCTTTTACAGGTTTTCGCTTTTGTTTTCATATTTCACAGTAAAAAATATTTAAAAAAAACTGAGTGCCACTAAAAAATCTCAGATTTACATTGGCAAGGTCACTCTGCGCTGGTGTTGATTGTTGACATTGTTGATTGATGCGATGCTGCTTCTTTGGTTGCGGTTTGATGATGTAGTAGAATTTTGTAATCGCTGGGCTTTTGATGACCTTGAGCAAATGTTGCATTTGCATTTTGCCTTTTGGCGTTTATTCATTTTTGCTGCTACTCTCGCCAGAGGAAGAGAGATAGCCAGCACAAGGATTCAGAGAGAGAGAGAGTGGGGGTATGGGCAATTTGTCGGCTTTATGCATTGGGATATGTGTGGGGTGTGGGGTGAGAGTGAGATGGCGACGCAATAACCACAACAACAACCGGTGCTTAAGGCTAGTTTAAAACCGTAAAATTTGCCAACACATGCGTGTGAAAGGGACAACCATACGTACGTATATATCTTAAGGCTACTGCATGTCAAGGTCCTGACACAATTTCCACACAGCACGTGATGCACTAAATTCGGAGGGGGATTGTGTGGCTGCTCTGTTTACATTTCATCGACTGCTGAATAATGTGCCATAAATTATACGACCCAAAAAATATAGAAGCAGCTCATAAAAATGTCACGAGTGACGCTGCTGCTGCTTTTTCTCCATTTATTTTGTGCCCTATGATGATCATTATAAAAATCAGACCACTGTTTGACCCCGCTTTTCTCTTTTGGCAGCAAAAAACAGTCAATTTGTCATTTCTTAGGCAAAACTTAAAGCTTACGTTCTACTGAGTTTCTGGCGATGAAAGATATATGGACAATGCGAGGCGAGTAAAGTAAAACTTACAAAAAAAAAACTCAACTTAAGGCAATTATTAAGGCAACAAAGTAAACATTTTTTGAGTACAGTTACGCCAAGCACTAAGTGTGGAACAGAGACAAAAGAAAGATATAAAGAGAGAGGTAGAGATTCAAGTACATTTACCGGTACATTGTGAGACTGTTTAGGTTGCACAATCCGCACGATGAGAACGTTTTAAGGCCGTTTCTATAATCCTTTTGTCACAAACGAATTGCACAGATACAGATGCATGTATCTGCCTTGGTCTACGCGTGTATATATATATGAGACATTTAGAGTTCCGATTCCCAGCGGAATCAAAACTTTTTTTGTGGGCCATACATGCCGCGCTTGCTCTTTGTAAATGCAGTTCGATCTTATAAATGGTTTATGTATAGATATATATATATATTTATATATAAATATGGAAGATTGCGTTACTTTACGTTGTTTCACGTTGCTCGGTTAACATTTTTGCATATTTGCTTATCTTTTATCACATACAACTGTAAATATAGGACAAAAATAAAGCATCTCGCGAGATTACGAAAACACGCAGACGACGATCATTTGATTTTAAGTGAGGGTAATGAAAGTGTAGGAGTTGGTGCGAACGCATGAATGTATGCTATGAAATATGTCATAACGCAAACGTAACAATTATAGCGAATGAAGGGGGTTCCCTTTGTAATGAAAAAATTAACATTTTTTTTAGGGTTTGTCTATGAAAAAATTAACGTCTTCTAGGAAAAAAAAGATTAAATTACTATTGGGAGCGGAGCATTTTAGGGGCGGGCTGTACTCATATGGGGGTTTCCCCAAAACGTTTGACTGTTTTTTGCTGCTCTGGTTCACTATCTATGTGTACGTGTATTCGTTTTGTTTAATAAGTTCTGTATTTAATCGATTATTGGTTTTTTTTATCATTGATTGCACCATCTAGTACATGTAACATTTAATTATACTTATATGAATCATCCTTGTTGTTGTTGCGGTTATTGTTATCCATTCCTGTGGCTGTTCTCGTTGTTTCTTTTTTCTCTCTGATAATATCAGAGCACAGAAATAAAACAAAGAACCAATTGAACTAAAAACTAAACAATGTGTGTGCTTGTGTAAATATGAAATGAATAAGGGATACACAAAGGGTACAACCACTCTGTATGATTTAATATTTTGTGCCAGCGACATCCACAGCAAATCGATAACAATCACAAGATCTCATCGACTTGCAATCGACATCTTTCCCTGCACACATACCAATGCATATAAGCCGCCAAGTTTTGCTAATTTAAGAGATTTCGAACAAGCAAAAAAATTTAACTTTCATAAACCAAATAAATCTAAACTAAATTAAAACGTTGGCTGCAACTTTTCCAGCAATTGGGAATTCTTGTCGTACAAACTATTAAAAAAAAGGTTGGTTTGGTCTTTTGTTCGTTTTCCAAAGAGATATCTGGGTAGCAAAAAAATTAGGTAAACACTTTGTCATCTTTATGTTTTTTGTATTGTGTCAGGGAGAATGGGAGGAAAGGGAGGGGAACTACAGTCGAAATTCTCTAGTTTTAAATGAATACATTTTCAAAAGTGTTTTCAAAATGTAAGCTAATATATTTTTACTGTGTACAACATTAAAAGGCACATTCTTGGACACCACAGTAAAGTTTAAATCATTTTGCATCTAGGGAAGTTCGACTGAATGTTTGTGTTTGAAATTCAAATAAGGATCACGATCAAACAGAAAAGATATGGAACGAATATGACTGACGGAACGTAAGAACTCAAGTTTAAAAATTTACCTCGACTTGTTGTTGTAGCCATATGGGGGATAACCACCGTTATTATTGTTACTACCCGGATTATTGTTGCCGTACATATCCTGAGAGTTGCGAGTGTGTTTTTCGAATCAACAAAAGTTACACCCTCGATCGAAGGTGAGTTTTGGACTGCGGGTGGAGGTTTTGGGGATAATGAGGTGAGTTTTGTTGAGTTGAGGTGAGATCGATCTCTTCCTCTTTTTGGCGCTCAGCGCTCTCAGCTGGCCTGCTGCTGCTCTTGTTGTTGTTTTTCTGCTGCTTCTCTCAACTTTTTTTGTATTGTATCTTCTTGTGTTGAACTTATTCTTGCTCTCTTCCTTTTCTCTTTTTACATGTGCACACACTGTGCTTTCTCTTAATTCCTATGTTTTGTATCTTGATGTGTGCTTATTGCTGTTGTTGTAGGCGCGCTGATGATGTTGTTGTAGTAGTTGAAGAGATGATAGTTGTTGTTGTTGGTACTAAAGGTTGATTGATTCGATTTAGTTAAGATTTCATTTAATTTCCCTTTTTTGGGACGGGAAAGGGTTGGGGGCTCTACATTTATACGAAGGAAAAAAACATGACAAAGACGTGAATTGTGTGCGACGCGATTTGGTGAAACGAAATATATAATGAAAAACCGAAATAATTAAGGAATTCATTTAGGCTGAGTTTATACGTGTGTGTGAGTACTTAAAACTAGAGTTGTAAAACATATTGTTTTTTAATTTAAAAAAAATATTAAGTAAATAAATATAATAAATTTGCATACATTTTGTTCGTAAAAACATTTTGTTAATAATATTGATCTTTCAAATTGATTGATTGCTTAAAAATACACTTTACCTTCGTGTTGATAGGCTACTTAAATTACATAAAGACTTAAACACTCAACACTTTGCATACAGTCGTTATCTTTGCCAAAAAATAGCCAGGCTTGCCATCACATAGTATGAAGCAAACAAAATTTTCTAAACCAAAACATAAGTAAATAGCTGCGCCTTTATACAATAATTTGACTAGCGATCGAGAGGAAGAATAAAATCCGACATACCTGGCCATCTTAAAGTTATAGTAGGACGACATAGTCGAACAGGGAGTCACAGTATCAAAATTGAAATCCATAATGGGATAATCACAAAGTTAATAATTTTCTTTAACAAATTGAATGTAAGACACACAAGAAATCACAAGATCTCAGGACACAAGTTGGACTTGTCACGAGTGGCACTCGACTGAAGAGGTCCTGTCGACCATCGATCTATTTAAGGATCGGAGGAGGGGTATCGAACTAGTGGGCGGTGTGTGGGTGGCAGGTAGAAAGCCGAAGGAGGCAAGGTGCGCGTGCCAGTCGCGTGGGCTACCTAAGATCCCATAGATTGATCCCGCGAGGAAGTGTGCCAGGCGTACTTTCTTGGGTGGCCGGCTGCAATCTCGCGGATCCCCGATTCCCAGATCCCAAATCTCGGCAGGCAGGCAGATGTGCCGCTTTCTCGGAAGCTGGATGCTGGCAAGGTGCTAACTTTTTGGGCCGGGTGGGTGGAAAACGGCGAAAGGTGGAACGTGGCAAGCTGCAAATTAATTACTTGGAAGCAAGCTGCAATTTTTTGCCCCGACTGAAATTCCAAAGAATATCTCCTAGGACTAGTAATTCTAAGTCCATAGTTAATTAGATTCCTAGAACATACTAAGTGAAAATGAAATTACCTTAACTGTTTTACTTCTCATATATAGCAAATACTAAACTAAATATGTTTAACAACATTATGATCATAAATTAATATATAGATTTATTATATTTACAAGTACATTGTTTTAAAAATGTTTGATAACATAGAAAATCTGTTTAACAACGTATAAAATAAATTATTAATCGACCAAAATTGTATTTTATTCAAATCTCTATCAAGTATAATCAATCTATTTAATCAAATTGAAACTCTGCATAAAATCATTTCCCTATTTACACTTAATCCCCATAAACATAATCTACACCATAAATAACCCATTAAAGATTCTATTTCCCTGCAGCCAATTGCAGCTGCCTTTTTGCTCGGATTTCGGACAGGGGGCAGGTGAAAATGCAAATTTACCTCCCGCTTATAAAAATCCCGGGTGGAAAAAATCTGACAGCCCAAAATGCAAAATACCAAGAACACAGATCGCTTGAAAATTCTATGCCAATTTTCAACAGAAACTTTAAGTCAGTCAAGGTGTTCGGTTCACTCTAAGCGTGAGCTGAGAAGACAAACTTTATTTTTGGATAAAAAATTAAATAAACTCAGTGTTGTTTACATAAAGTGGCAATGGCTTGTTTAAAGAAAAGGTAAAATAATAAAAAGGAGTACTATTTATAGTTGTTACATTAGTGAAATTAATATTTATTAACACATAGAAACTTGAAAACGCATAAATATGTATCAAATTTATTTCATACCTTTGAGTTTTTAAATATTGTCTTATCTTCTTAAAACAGCTTAACCCTTGAATTTAAGTTATTTAAGTTCTTCGAACAGCTAATACGAATTTTCTTTCCTGAATAGTTAGGTTCAAAAAATGACTGCAATTTTGCAAAGACTGTAAAATCTAAGAAAAATCTTTTGATACTATAGATTTTTAATTTCAACGAGATGTATTTTATTGAGTTTTCTATGTTATTATTTATCAATATTCCGTAAATATACTTTCGAACATTTCCAATGAGCTTTAGCAATTATTTCCAGAAGCAGGAAACGATTCCCGTGAATAGTATAGATACATATGTATATACTACATCCACCACTTTGGGATCCTCCATCCCAAAAACAAAAACAAAACTTTTCCCATTTTCAAGGGAACGAAGGAGGAATCACAACTTTTGCCAAACAGAGAACGAGGAGAGGAATAAAGAGAGAGAGAATAAAAGAGGAGCAAGAAATCGAGGGCAGTAGCAAAAGGGGGCTGCATATAAGTGGGCGGGGCGGCCTAAATCGCTTTGGGTCGCTCAGAAACACAAAAACCAGAAGAAAAGCGGGGTGGAATGGGGTTGTACGGTCACCAATTCGAGGGCTGCTTTTACCCATATACAATACACAGCAGATTGCCGAAAAAAAACAGAAGCCCAAGGAAGAAAAATATATACAAAGATACATAAAACAGCTTATGTACCTCGCTTTCCAGCGTGAAAATCCACAGCAACCGAAAGGAAATGCGGAAGTGGAGAAACGAAAAGCGTCACAGGCTGTGAATTTAGGAAAGGTAAAATAAGGCGGGGAAACAAAAGGGTAGCCTAAAGGTTTTGAAATAGGAGAGCCCAGATGTTTAAAGAAAACCCAACCAAAAAAGAGTAACAAAAGTCACCTTGACTTTCATATGCAGATGGGTGAAAGCTAAATCACTGAAAAATCAAAAACCCAAAAAATAATAATATAATAAATAACATAGAAAAATCTTAATAGACCGTATGAAAGTTATTCCATATTCCATGAATGTGTAAGAAAATAAATTAACGTATACAATATTAAACAATCTTTTTCAATGAAAAATGCTGTATGTGTATGATAAGAAACTTAAAAAAAATATACAAAAAATAAATACAAATATTTTAATATTTGTTTGTTAATTGTGAAATATTTAGCATCTACTTTTTTGTTGTCAAATTAACATGCCGTAAATGTTGACATACATATTCTTTGAGCAATATAAAAACAACGTGTATTGTGATAATGATAAACAAAACAAGTCAGCCGTTTATTGATTGAATACATATAAAGCATTGACACCATTTAACAGACATTTTTTGCCAGTGTACGAGTAAAAGGAAAGAGAGAGAAAGGCAATAACAAAAAGCCAGAAAAACTTTACAGTTTGATAACAGTAGTCGGCTAATTTGGAGCACAGTTGTGTAAATAGAGCAGCACTATTATGCACTGTTTGGATGTGCGAACAGCTGATAAAAGCCTATATATATTTATGTGCTTACATATACATATTTAAAGATATATATCTCTCTGTCTAACGGTCTCTCAGCTGAGAGAGTGAGTCATACGCCCGCATGCATGAATGAATATAGAAAACATACAGCATTGCCAGACGCAAACAATCGATCCGTCGAACATTCCAGCTGATCGCTTGTTTGGTTGTTATTATTGTTGTTGCTATTTCAAGTGTATCCAGTAAGGTTAAATGTGTGTGTATTTTTACAAAACGAGCTTGAAAAGTACAGTAAGCACTTGAAGTGGATAACAAATAACACACATTTTCCTAATTATGTTTTTATTTAAACATTTTCAAAGGCTTATTTTATGAAAACGTTTTTTGTGGCAAATCAATTTAAAAATACAATCGAATTGTAGTCAAACTGTAACATTGCTTATATGATTTGATTTGATACTTTAATTTAACTTTGCTTTCATTTGTTTTTAAAAGGAAAAATATCAAACTAATATTTTTCAACTAAAGAAAAAATACAATATTGTATTTAACACTCCAAAGTTGTAAGTCATCTTAACTTACAAAATTATAATTTAAAATCATCACATTTCCGGGTGACCACTGTAGTACATTTTTTATTGATCGCCGACCAAATAAGGTTCATAAACTGGCTGGAAATATGTAACTTGTAAATTGCGCCAGGGAATGACCTTAGTGGAACGCGAAATGGGGGAAGTGGAGAGGGGAGGGAGGAGGTGGTACTTGCTACCACCATTCCAATATTCCAATGCATTTTTCCAAACGATCATTGCCAACAGCAAGAAGGGGAATGACCCACGGAGAGGAGAGAATGAGAGGCTAAAAGGGCGAAAGAGCAAAAAAAAACGTAGAAACGGAGGAGAAAAATGCAGCTGCCCCTTCCCTTCTCATCAAACCAGCTGCATATTGGAAAACAAAAAAATAAACACGGCAGCTGACCGTAGAAAGAGACAAGACGAAAGTGCAAATCGAATATCTCTCTTCTTCTTTCTACCTGCCTGGAAAATCGTTGATCCTTTTCCTTCAATGGATAAAAAGAGAGCAATAAAACTAAAGGGCGCGTGTTGCTAATGAGGATCATTTAAATTTAAGCAGTTGTTTTTATCTAGGCCTACATGGCTATAAACACTAATCGAATGCTACTTAATTGCAATTATTTTGATTGCAAATTGACGGGGGAGCCTCAAAGTATGGTGTATATTAATCTAATCCAGGGACACACGAAATGTAACCCAAAACACGAGAAAACAAAAAAACACGTTGCCTTCAACGATAACAGCTGGCAATGCCCTCGACGTCAAGCGTTCGCCATAGACGAGCTCAAAAAAATGGTACCAAATAAAAACATTGCTATTGATTTAATGCTGCAAACTGATTTTAACAGTTAAAGTTTTGGTAGTAGTATATCATAATTAAATTATATATACGCGAAATTTTAAGATTATAACATTTTTAAGATTGGTATCTACAAACTAAGAGATTTCCCAATTTTTCTCCGGGACTTTTAATGCGCAGCCAAAAAACACATGGTGCGAAATTTTGTAAACAGGAAATATGTATACAGGATATGCATATACGTAGGTAGTTGAAGTGCAGCGGAAGTTAAGGAAGTAGAAAAAAGGGACGCAATAAAAACTCAGGTAGAGCGACTATATTCTAGAGTTTTCGGCCATTTACTGCTGGACGCGACTGTATGCATGTGTTGTTTTAGTCTTTTTCGCTTCATTTTCGTTATTTCTTTTACTGCCCTTGCTTTTCATTTTGTTGTATCTTTGACCAAAAAGCTGTTTCAAATACAAAACACTTACCCAGCATTTCTGTTTGTTTTATTTACTATTTTTAAGTTAAGACAAAATGTATAACCAAAGAATTAAATACTCACACACACAGTTGTTTTTTATTGTGTTTTACAACTTTATGTATTTACTAGTACATTTGTAAGTGATATTTAGGTGATGTATGTTGCTATGTACTACTTAACTGCAAAAAAAAGAAAAAAAACCAAGTGTAAGCCAAGCGCATGAATCGGTGTGTGTGTGCCTGAAGAGGGAGAGGCAAAGAGAGGCGTTGTATATGTATCTACATACACGCACGCTCTCTCACGTAGGCACACGCACACACGCGCTTACGTACATTTGTATGACGAAGCCGCAAACACAGAAAAAAAATGAGTATATACAGTAACAACAACAGCAACGAGTGGATGAGAGAGTGCCTTTTAACGGCTTTGCTTTTGTTGTTGTTGTTGCTAGTGGTGGGAAATGTTGAATGGAATTTTACAACATCTTCTTCGGCTCGATCCTACTTCTTTGCAGTAACTTGAAAAAAATATACAGAAAAAAAAGAAACAAAACAACGAGTATTTGTATGTATTTCCTCATTACTCGTTCTGGTCAAATGTATGCAAATGCGTGTGCAGAACCAACAAAAAAAACGTATAACTTCAAAAAAGAAAAGAAAAACTCCAAACAGCTCTTTTTTGGTACTATACTATAGTAAATGCGAAATGATTTATGCGCATTTTCACAATGTCTGCGTGTTTTCCACAATCATTGGGCTTTTCTCTTTTTGCGTTTGTTCATTTCGTTTCATTATATACATATACACTTCACGTCACGCTAGAAACCCTGTATGTATTTGTCATGTGCTGTCTCTGTGTGTGTGTATTGTTTTTTCGTTGGGGTTTTTTCTTATTTTTCTCTTAATCGGCACACAAATCGTTGTCTTTGTCTTGTTTTTAAATAATTTCAACTTTATTCACTTCGATTTTTTATTGGTTATTTTACGTGGCGTATATTAAAACGGGGCTCAGAAACGGGAAGTACAAGATAAAATTACCAGAAAAAAATTCACTGCGCGACTTTCCTTCTCGAGCAACAACAAAGCAGTGTGCCCGGATTCGGTAAGCAGCTTATGGGTTGTAGAGGTGGAGCAACATAGATGTCATCGGTGATATCGATGCTTGAGACGACATCATCGATGTCTAACTGCGGAGTAACTCCACGCTAACTATCGTTAGCGCACACGTCTCCGCTACTGGTTGGTGTCTCCGCTAACGATGGTAACAACGATGGTTTTCCATCTCTAACGATTATTGCATTTGAAAAAATGGTTATACCAAAAATATCGCTGCTGTTATTACCTTATACAATGCAATTGATCATAACACTGCGAGAAATAATTGATAATCTAAATGCTCCGACCTATAATCTCGTTTTCAAATAAGACGAAGTCGGCGACAAGACCGGTTTCTTCGAGAAAACCACTAAAAACAGTTATTTGTTTTGTTTTACCTTTCAAAATTCTACCTTTTATCAAAAAGTCCTTATTTAGTTAATAGAAAAATTGTATGTTTGGTTAATGGTTTGTTTGCTGTTTTTTTTAATATATTGAATTTCCCAATAAATCGGAGAATTTTAATAATACCTGTATGAAACCTTTTTCCCAACCAAAAAAAAAAAAAAAAAATATGTAAATAAAATTATATATTTGGAAAAAAAAATGGTAAATTAACAAGATAAATAGTAAATAACATTTGAAGACATACAACAGCAAGTCATCTTAAATTATAAATTGTAACACTTTTAAGCGCCCCCTTTAAAACATTCGCCTTCAATTGGAAATAAACCATTTATTCAAGCATCTACGGAGTTCTATGGGATATGCCTAGAATCCCGCATTAACACTAATCGAGCTGCACCGAAATAACCACGGCAGACACCAAAATACGAATATACGAATACACGAAAGCAATATCCGCCGATCGCGAGCCAGGCCCCAAAATATCAAGCGTATATATATCAGTATCTGCGAACACATCGAGTAGTCCCTGAGCTAAGCGATGAAACTGGCCAAAGGGGCTGGGCTCGCGGATCTGACGCCTCCTTAATTCTAGCTAGGTCTGTATATGGTATATGGTATATGCTATTGGTATATGGTATATGGTATATAGTATATAGTATATGGTACATCTGTATAATCTGTATAAACATGCATAATGTAATGCAGGCTAGGCGGGCTCCTAGTGTTCAAAAGGCGAGGGGTGGGCGTGGAAATTCGTGTTGTAAACTTTCGGGTTTTGTACAAATTCACTTTCGTTTGTGTCGATCGCCTTTTGAGTACAATGTACAATAGTCTTTTTGAGAAACACATGGCCAAAACGTGAGCTGGAACATGGTCAATGTAAAGGTGTACACAATATTATAGTACATATTTGAATATAGCTAATAATATCAATATATATAGAGAGAGAAAGATACATGAGCACTCGCACAATATGAATCTTTGGCAGGACCGCAGATACTGATCACAAGAATCGTTTCGATTTAGTTAGTCTGTAATGCTAATTAACTACAACTATTCGTACTCGCTCGCAAAAAAATTTGGCTAATTGTGGAGCAGAGACTCGGGTACATCATGTACATCATAGGAATACGTTACACATGGCTGACAAAATCGAATCCCTGTCGTTAAGTACTCTAAGGTCTAAATTCGCTGTGTTCCCCAACTGCTGCTCCCTCCCCTTTCTCACGGCTCGATGGCTCCTTCGCCCGGGTAGAGGTTCACCAGAATGGCGTAGTAGTGACATCCGGCGGCCAACACCACAAACAGGTGCCAGATGGCATGGGCCATCGGTATCATTCCGTCCGCCTTGAAGAACACGATGCCCAGGATGTAGAAGGCACCGCCGAACTTCAGCTGCAGCATCCCGTGGAAGTGGTGGCCAGTGAAAACCACCACCAAGGCCGGACCAAGGCCCATCACCAGGTAGAAGAACGTCTCCAGGCACTTGAAGCGCTCGTGGAAGAGCTGTTTTCGAAAAACCAAATACATTTAAATTAAATTGAAGCCAATATATGGAAATAAAGCATTTAAAAAAAGGGTTAAAGATTAGATCAACACTAAAATGAAAAATTTGAATGCAGATAGAGATAGATATTTAGAGGATCGAATCACAAATCTTTAGAGGTATGTCACTTTCAAATCGGATAAAATTTGGTAAAGTTATGATCTCCGGAAGTCCAGCTGTGGGTCACCTTTTTACAACACATCGAAAACTTGGAAATAAATGGACATGAAAATGGGTCAAAAATTTGATCAACGTTAAATTGAAAATTTTGAATGCAGATTTTTAGAGGATCGAATCACAGGTCTTTAGAGGTATGTCACTTATAAATCGGATAAAATTTGGTAAAGTTATGATCTCCGGAAGTCCAGCTGTGGGTCACCTTTTTACAACACATCGAAAACTTGGAAATAAATGGACATGAAAATGGGTCAAAAATTTGATCAACGTTAAATTGAAAATTTTGAATTCAGATTTTTAGAGGATCGAATCACAAGTCTTTAGAGGTATGTCACTTTCAAATCGGATAAAATTTGGTAAAGTTATGATCTCCGGAAGTCCAGCTGTGGGTCACCTTTTTACAACAGATCGAAAACTTGGAAATAAATGACATGAAAATGGGTCAAAAATTTGATCAACGTTAAATTGAAAATTTTGAATGCAGATTTTTAGAGAATCGAATCACAAGTCTTTAGAGGTATGTCACTTTCAAATCGGATAAAATTTGGTAAAGTTATGGTCTCCGGAAGTCCAGCTGTGAGTCACCTTTTTACAACGCATCGAAAACTTGGAAATAAATGACATGAAAATGGGTCAAAAATTTGATCAACGTTAAATTGAAAATTTTGAATGCAGATTTTTAGAGAATCGAATCACAAGTCTTTAGAGGTATGTCACTTTCAAATCGGATAAAATTTGGTAAAGTTATGGTCTCCGGAAGTCCAGCTGTGGGTCACCTTTTTACAACAGATCGAAAACTTGGAAATAAATGACATGAAAATGGGTCAAAAATTTGATCAACGTTAAATTGAAAATTTTGAATGCAGATTTTTAGAGGATCGAATTACAAGTCTTTAGAGGTATGTCACTTATAAATCGGATAAAATTTGGTAAAGTTATGGTCTCCGGAAGTCCAGCTGTGAGTCACCTTTTTACAACGCATCGAAAACTTGGAAATAAATGACATGAAAATGGGTCAAAAATTTGATCAACGTTAAATTGAAAATTTTGAATGCAGATTTTTTGAGAATCAAATCACAAGTCTTTAGAGGTATGCCACTTTGGAATCGGATAAAATTTGGTAAAGTTATGATCTCCGGAAGTCCAGCTGTGGGTCACCTTTTTACAACACATCGGAAACTTGGAAATAAATGACATGAAAATGGGTCAAAAATTTGATCAACGTTAAATTGAAAATTTTGAATGCAGATTTTTAGAGGATCGAATTACAAATCTTTAGAGGTATGTCACTTTCAAATCGGATAAAATTTGGTAAAGTTATGGTCGCCGGAAGTCCAGCTGTGAGTCACCTTTTTACAACACATCGGAAACTAGGAAATAAATGAGTCAAAAATTGGATCAACGTTTTTACTTTATAGGGTCGGAAATGTCTCCTTCACTGCGTTGCAAACTATTGACTGAAGGGTATAAAGATCGGGAAATCGGGAGTAACCCACCTGCTGGTAGGCAATTCCTACGCCCGCCATCAGCCAGATGACCCACTCCATGCAGAAGAGTATGGCCGAGTGGTCGGTGTTTTCCAGGGTGAGCCACGGGAAGTAGGATCCGGCGATAAACACATAGATCATGGCCCTGTCGCAGCGATGCAGCACGTTCTTCAGCCCCTGGTACGTCTGCCAGCCCAAGCTCGGCCAGGCCTTGACATTCCTCGGGGGCCTGGACAGGGATTAAAAGGTGAAGCAGTGAGAAAATCGATCAAAGGATGGTCATCCAGAGGACTAACTTGTGCTCGGCGCAGTAGCAGGAGCAGTGGAAGAAGGTCGACACCGTGAAGAGCATGCAAAGGGCTCCGCCGTAAACCCAGGAGACCAAATACTGGCTGGAGCTGGATGAGCGTTCGAACAGCTTTATTGCGGCAAACACGGCGGGCAGTATCCAAATCCCGTGAGTAATCACATTGGCCACCTGCTCAATCTGTTGTTGGACAAGACAAATGTTGTTTTATAAACTTATTCATTCACTTATGACAGATTAGAACCCACCTCCGTCGGCTGGTAGGCACAACCGGGCTTGGCCTTGGCATTCTTCCACTTGACATTCCGCAGCTGCAGCTTGAGATTTGAATTCGACTTGATGATGGACTTCCAAAACTTGCTAAATAGATTCTCGAGGAAGGCGTACTTGTTTTGAATATCCTGCATCAGGCTGACGGTTTCATTTCCATTTCGATTCGGCCTCCCACTTCCGTGGCCACTCCCTTCGCTGGTGCTCATCGTGGACAGACTGCGGATTAGATTGCAAATTGGTTGTCCGGCTCGTAAAATTGATAGATTGCCAGCCGACTAACCCAACTAACCCGACTAACCCATCCACCCATCCACCCACCACCCAGGCTTCCCCCTTTTTATGGCCAATTGATTATCAGCCCCCCCTTATCTTCTGCTTTTGGGGCTCGAGTGTCTATCACTCGACGGCAATCACTGGACAATGGACAGCTCGGCACTTGAGATATTCCTGCATTGAGCTAATTTATGCTCATTTATTTTGCACTGACAACTTGCATACAATGGCCAAGGTTGCTGCTTTTGACCCGCAATTGAAACCAGTTGTCTGATTGGCGGCCCGCTTATCTCGCGGGGTGAGAACATGGCTCAAAGTCCGAATCGGATGAGATATGCCCATCCGCGGGAATTCGATTATGGAGCATTCGAAATTCGATGGCAGATGCAGTAAAAATACATAGGTCTTGTTTGGAAAGAAAACCAACATCGGTAAGACGAAGTTTATATACACTTCGTATTAAGTTTATGAATGCTTCTATATCAAACCACATGCAAATTAGGGAGAATATAGTATTTGTTTGGTTGTATATAATCGGAAATGTTTCCCTCACTGAGTTACAAACTTCTGAATAAAAGTGTAATTGCCTCTGCGTGGGTATAAATACCAAGTGATCATATGATCCGCTTAGGTCCAAAAGTCTAATGGTTATGTAATGAATGTACTCATTTGCCCATTTCTAATGATTTCATTATTGTGAATCAAAAAAATACCAACTACTCGCACGTTGTAAGCTTATTTAAATTAAAGTCCAATTACGTTTAGCATAGGCTGCTAGAAAACCACTCACGTCAACTAAGATGTCTCTAATAACATTTATATGTGGTTATCCTGCTTAATTAAGGTTATTATTTTGAGGTATCAAAGTCTAAAACTGAAGAGCGTAAAGCGCAAAGTTATTATCCAAAAAAAACCATGAGTTAATAATTAATGAGGCAGAAACACTAGTTATATGCTGCTTAATAACCCGTTTAAATGACCCTATAATAGCATTACCTATTGTATTTTTAGAACAGGTTAATATTTAACTACACTTGTGTCGATCTGAAACTTTTATGGGCTTGTCTGTATTCCCGCTCATTAAATTGTGACAGCTAGTCAATAGACGAACGATGGTGGGTGGCAAGTAGGTGACCCCCACCCCCAAAAGTATGCCCCACTGGGCGCAGCGGGGGTCACAGGGTGGAAAAACATAACGGTCGCCCCGTCGAACTTCATCGCCATAACGACTATGCTAATCGTTATAAAAATAGATGCCTCGGGCATTCCTTATATTGGCAATTACAACACAGCGGGTGGGGCAACAGCAACACTGGGAGAAAATTTTAGAACCGCCCGCCGATTTCGAAACATAAAAAAAACATAAAAACTTAAATCTTGATATAGTAAGATGTTGTTTTTCTTATTAATTTTTGAATTTTTAATATTTGTAGGAACCCCTTTTGATTACTGATTATTCTGGCACTTCAAAAGGAAGTTCTTGATTAGTTTTTTTCAGTGCACAGGAAAGCATCGGAGATTGTTTACATCTTTCAGCTAGAATCAATTGACGTGCTAATCCAATTTGTAGCGCTGCCGTCACGCAATTCAACCTTGTCACCTGTCCACCTGTATTTCCGTATTTTCCGATCACATCTTAACTTTCCCCCGGGAAATCGAGAAATCCGAATTTCTGGTGGGAAACTCACCGTTCTTTTGGAGCCGCGGATTTTGATCCGGATGCTGCGCTCTGCGGAATGCGGATGCGAATGCGGATGCAGACGTCTGGATCCGCAATCGGGCGGATTCGGAGTCCCAATCCCACGCAGGATTCTCAGGGCCCCAAGTCTCGGTGCACTGCATCTGGCGGAGGAACGGGAGTTTTTTTTATTTGGACTTGGCGTCCGCAGTAGAGGTGGAGAAACATCGATGTTATCAAAACATCTGTAATATCGATGTTTGGCAAGACATAATCGATGTTTGCAATCGATGTTTGGCGGGGTGCTATCAATGCTTTCCCACATCTAGTCCACAGTCGGTGGATTGGCGGACTTTGCTAGAGGTGGGAAAATCGACTATGTAACATCGATTCATCGCTGTTGTAACATCGTCCTTTGGTCATCGATGTTATGCATCTGATCTTCTATCCCTAGATAAATAAATAATATATATTTAATATAACAGCGTAATTCAAAAATAATAATATTCAATTTGTTAGCTTTCGATTGATATGAATATGACTGGAAATTTGTACTTCGACAAAAAAAAAGAAAAAAAGGCGGTGCCCACAACCAGCGCACTTTCCCTATGTATCAATAACCAACAATGTACGGCATAAAATATACAGTTTACTACCTACAACATGCAACATGCAACATACAACACGACACCCGCAATATGCAACATGGAATTTGAAACATGAAACATGATACATGCAACATGCAACATGCAATATGCAATATGCAATACTTTATTTTTGTAAAAGCTGCAAGGGCATTTAAACTTTGGCTTGCCGAAATTTGTTTCCTTTTTTCCTTATTTAGATTAAAATTTTCAAATGTGAATCTACTTGGCTTTTGTAAAGCATTCAAATGTACATATATTAGAGAGACTAACTTCAGCTTAGTGAATTTTGAAACTCTCTCCAATTCATTGCAAGTTTATCCTTTTTTTAATTAGCAGTAATAAGCGAATCTTTATCTGGATCACTTTCTGAGGGTGGTGAAACTCAGCTAAAATTAAATTAGGAAGATTACTGGTACAAAATCAATTCAAGAATCAATTGTTAAGGCGCGCAGCTTATCGATTGTTCTTGGACTAACTTTCCAAGACACTCTGACTATCGAAACCGGGCAAGTATCGATAGCAATCGCGCAGCGGAAATCGGAAAAACGTGTGAAAAAGGTGCGTGACTTATTTTTTGTTAATTCCACCGGATTTCACTGATTTTCCGACGTTTTTCCACCCAGCAATAGCAAGCAAACATGTCTGGACGCGAGGGCGGCAAGAAGAAGCCTTTGAAGGCGCCAAAGAAGGACTCCAAGGACATGGACGAGGACGATGTGGCTTTCAAGCAGAAGCAGAAGGAGCAGCAGAAGGCTTTGGATGCGGCCAAGGCGAATGCCTCCAAAAAGGGGCCTCTTGTCGGCGGCGGGATTAAAAAGTCGGGCAAGAAGTGATGATATAGCCGCAGCCGCGCCCACAATCTACTCCCCAATCCAGAACCCACGGGATGCAGCATTTTAGCCGAATCACACCCATGTGGACCAAAATTGATCGTCTAGCCAGTTGGAATTCACTTCTTTTTATACTTACGCTTACCATTAAATAGAGCATTGTACGTCAGGAATAAGATTTATTGTGCGGACTGAATTTCGTCTCTAAGTGCGTGGAAAGCTGGCCTGCGTCCCGGGCAACTGGACGGATTGCGAGGCCACGGCACAGGCGGCGGCTATGCTGTCCTCCAGTTTGCCTTTCGGATTGCGGGCAATATTGTGGGCCAGTGCTCCGATGAAGGCGTCGCCGGCTCCCGTGGTGTCCACCACTTTTTCGGACGGTACATGTGGTGCAGGCACATGCCGGTAGGCGCCCTTAGATTCAGCAGATCCGAAGACAGCTCCTAGTTTGCCCAGGGTAATGATCACCGTGTTGGCTCCCATCTCTATCAGCTTTGCAATGGCAGTTTGAGCTTGTCTAAACGGAAAATTATACTCGTTAGAGGCTTTGTTCCCAGGTTAATAGTATGCACCACCTACTCCACGGTCTCAACGATGGCCATCTGGGTCATCAGCGCCGCCTCGCTTTCGTTTACACAGAAGATCCCGGCCAGCTGGAGCAGTTCCCTTGGGGTATTCTCCATGGCCGGTGCCGCATTCACAATGGACACGCCACGGAAGGATTTCAGGGCCGTCAGGGTGGCCTCGATGGGCGTCTCCAGCTGGCAGACCAAAACCTTGGCCTCCTGGAAGAGTGCCTCTGCTTGAGCCACATCGCAGGAGCTCAGCTTGCTGTTGGCGCCCACCACGATGATGATGTTGTTCTCGCCGCCATCGGATACGCCTATTTGCGCCACGCCCGTCGTCTGGCCCTCCAGCTGCTGCACGTGCTCCACATTGATCCCCTCCTCACGCAGCTGCCGCAGATAGTCGGCGCCGAAGGTGTCTGTTCCCAATTTGGCCACCAGCGCCGTCCGGGATCCCAGTCGTGCGGCGGCCACACACTGATTGGCGCCCTTTCCGCCGTAGCCCGTCTGAAATCGGTGTCCATGGAGCGTCTCCCCGGGTTTCGGCAGGCGGGGAGTGTAACTGCGAGGCGAGATGGGATCAGATCTTTGCAGGACTGATGGGTTCCCCTGTCCACTCACCATATAAAGTCTATAATGGCCGAGCCAAAGACCAGCACTTCGGTGGATTGAGTTTGAGCCATGTCGCCTGTGTCCGTTATCGCTGCAAATGCAATATGGGTTTGGTTTATTCCGTTCCGTTCCGCTTATCGGCCCGAGATTATGTGACCCCGGGTGAGGGGCAAGGGCAAGGACGGGGCAGTGGGGTGGAGCACTATCAGCTAGCTGGCCCACTCCATTCCTGGCCAAGATCGATGGTGAAGGGGGTGGTAGCTGTGGAAATCTCAGATAAATAGCTAATCTATAGCTAGAAAAGTGGGGGGCCTAAAATACTAGAAAATACTAAGTGTACTAGATGGTCTATTAAATATTTAAAATTATTTATCATTTAAATACATATCTAAAAATAAATAGGTAATGGTATCCTAAAAAGAGTAGGGAAGATCTTGAGACTCGTTTAGGATTGAATTTTAGACTTTGATTTCGAACCACCGATTTTGGGCGGTATTTTTGAATTTAAACTTAAAACTTAAAAACTAGGGAATTAACAACGGAAAACTAAAGTTAGATGTTAAAACTGATATATTACAAAATATTGGGGAGCTATATTCCATTTTTCGTGCGGATAAGATTACATTTTTTTTAAATATGCTAAGGCTCGTCCTTAATTGTAAAAACAAAGTACATAATTCAAGTATATATTTAAGAGACATTTTATTTTTAAAATATAAAATGCCAATTCGACAAAAAATGGACATTTCATTTTTCAATATGAAAATAATCTGTTTTAAGTTGCTATGAACACATATTTTCGAATTTGTGTAAATTCTAAATTTATAAAACTTTTTGAATGACCTCGAGTAATTCAATAACACTACAATTTAGGATACATTTAAAATACCTAAAAATGTACCAATCCCTACAATAATATTTTAGATTATTATTTTTGAATGAAGGCCATTTTAACATGAGAATTTGAAACAGCAAGGCATTCCTCAAATAGAAAGAGACGGCAGAAACACCACGAAATCAGATAAATCATAAAGTTTATTAAATATACGTAGTACAAATATATCGGCTGGCCATGGGACAAAATAAGGGACCATATAATTTATAACCTACGGGTGATACACACGACTTGAATTTGGGACTGGATTTTGGAATCGGGACATAATACATAGGCGTTTCGTTTTGGGAGTATAATTAGAATTACAAGCCACTCTACCGATTTACACGTGTTTAAATATAGCGTACAACTAGCTTTCCTCTACTGTTCTGGTTTCTGTTCCGTTGCGGGGATCCTCTGGGATCGCTTGTACCATCTACATATAACTCTGATTCTGCTCTGGCTCCATATCTCTGCTCGGTTCGGATTATCTGTTGATTATCCTGCTTAAACTCTATTATTGCGACTCGTGGCGAATGGGGGAGTGGGATGAGATAACATTGAGTGGACTGCACAGCCAATGTCTTCCGCCGGCAATCCTAGATACCGGCCCGTTCCAGTGCACTCAGCTGGGTGCCCAACCGCTCCTCCTTGGCCTTGCGCTCGGCGCTTATCTTCTTGGAGCTCTGGTACGTGTTGAGGAACGTCTGCACGTCGATCTTTCCGTTCAGGAAGTGCTCCACATGCCGATCACAGTCGGCATCGGCATTGGAAGCAGCAATCTGAAGGAGTTCCTAAGGGAAACGAAGCGAAAGAGGTATTGTTATAAGGTATTATTTTTTATTTTATAGATCTCTCATTATCTAAGAACGTAACCAATGGAGGGGATCAATAGATCGCTACTTGGGTTGACAATTTCACCTGGTTCCCAAGAAGAACAAAGGGAAAGGCCCATTGTTTGTCGAGATTTAATATGAAGGTAATGACCATTTCACTTGGTGACTCATTCTTTTTCCCCATTTAAAGTGTTCCGTACTCACCCTTATGTGCTGGGGTGCATATTCCTCGGACTTTTTCAAGTATTTCTTATTCAGCTGGTCGCATTTCTCGCCCAGTGTTTTTAAAGCTGTGTAATCATCGCTGAGCCGGCGCTTCAGCTCCACCAGGTGGCTGCCCTTGCTCTCGTTCTCCCCTGAAATAAAGATTGTAGTGGATCTGCAAGTTCTTCGCATTAATTTACCCACTTGATATATTCTCCACTTGGTTCATCATCGAGTCTAGCTCCTCGTTGAGGTGCTGCACCACAGACATCTCCTCGATGAAGTCGTCGAAGAATTCGGGATCCCTGTCCAGCTGCTTCAGCTCGTCCAGCGACAAAGTGGACAGGTTGGGCATGTTGCCCGACTCACTGCCCTCCGCAGCCGAATCCTTGGCGTCATCCTTCTCCGGCGTGTGTCCTTGAAGCGAGTGGGCGTGGGCTTGGGCTTGGGCATGACCTTGCGGCGAATGCTGGGTGGTGGGCATTTTGTGTTCCAGCTTCCAAATTCCAGTCAGTAGATGTGCTTTGGTTGAACTAAGAATTTACATTGTGTCATCCGAGAGACGTTTAGTCCAACACTTACTGGGTTCTCAAAAAAAGACGAGGGTCGACGTCGATGGCACGAACTGGAGCACCCTCTGACCTCCAGTGGGAGTTGGCGACCCCGGCTGCGGAAAAGAGGATTGCGAGTATGAAATTCCTGAAGGTTATACCTGGTTTTGCCCCGTTACTCACCCAATCTCCGTCTGCTGATTTCCTAATCTCTCCTGGTTTTCCTACGGTTTGGGATGGGATCGTATCGGGTTTGCACAAATCGAATGGTGGTTTTGTTTGCCCCGATCGGAGTTTCATTATCTTCTGTTCTGGACAATGTTGGCAATTTGACTATTTTTTAGCCACTCTCGGCTATTTTCAAAAGCTATCAGCTGGGTATGGCAGGTGCCTGCATTTTTAGCTTTCCTCTAAACTGTTTTGGCCACAGCCATATAAATGTAATTAGGGGTTAGCCGTTAAAATTTAATTAAAATTAAATTTCGGTGCAGAATATCAAACGAAACCCTTATTTCTAAGCTGGAACTATTATGTTTTAAATATTTATTTATCCGTTGAAATGCTGCTCAAAGTTTATCGAAAAACGAAAACTCACAAGATGATCGAGAAAAACAATTTAAATAAAATGTTATTAAAAAATTTTAAATATATCTAGTAAATTCAGCTAATAATTAAGCAATTGTAATCGAGAGTTGTCAACACTGCTGACATTTCACAAAACACCGTTGGCACAGGGTTGCCACCCCAGTTAGAGGGTTAAAGTTGCGGTACTGATTCATCGCACATATCTGACAGCCCTGACAATCAGCTGTTCGTTTGTTTACGATTTGCCTCGTTACTTTACATAACAAATTTAACAATTTACCAAATAAACAGTGTTTGCTAAACGATGGCGCTGTTTGAGATGAAGTGGCTGCGCCGCTGGGTGCGACGCAACACGAATCCCATTCCGGAGCATCGCGCAGAGTTGTGGAAACGGCGTTTGAGCATCGGATACGCCGTATTGGCCTGGCAGGCTTTCGGCTTCGTTTGCTACATGGTCTACACCGGCCGAAACGATTGGGCCAAGTTCTACGGCTACAAGACGGAGGAGGAACTGGCCCTGTCGCCGGCCCAGCAGTTTGCCAGGCATCTAAAAGTGGAGGGTAAAGGAAAGATCATCCGGATCTCGGGATTCCAGAAAGTTGAGGAGGTGCCCTTCGACTCCAGCGAAGTGGAGCGTGTCAAGGAATAACCGGAATCTTGTCTAGTCTTAGCAAAACATCCTTCTTTTTTTTTGACCAATTAAAGCCTATGAATAAGACTCTTGATGGACTCAGTTTGTTATCCTTGTGCAGTATTTCTGGGAAAATTGCAGATGAAACTAAAGTTTGTTAATAAAATTTATCATTTCTTCTTCTAAACCCTTTAAGACGATATCAGAAGCTTTTAAAAACTTCTCCATTTGATTTTATATATCGACAACTCGATCTGGAGCATTGTTTGCATCGGAATACCATATCGTATATACATATTCCCCTCGAACTTTTTAAATGAGTTTTGATTAAGTTTTAAGAGTTTTAATACACTGTTTTACAAATTATTATATGAGGCCAAATACATACTGAACCAAATATAATTTATAAGTATACCATAACATTATAATAAATAATGTTAATTTTTAAATTGGTGCGGTACCGCATTGTTGGCATTTAGCTGCCCAGGTATTTGGTATTTTTCCGCCCCGTTCGCTGCGGTATATTTTGGCGCTCTGGCAACGGTCACACAGCGAAAAAAAAACAACAAAAAAGCAGCGACGACGTTGACCGCCGAGCGGATCGTTGGCGATAACAACAATAACAAAACGAAACCATATTGGCAGCGGTACATTGAAGATAGCCCCCGTAGTCCCATAATCCCTATAATACCAATAATCCCAATCGGTAATCGTATTTCTCGCGAGTGGCTGTGATTTCGATCGGAGTGACATCTATAAATAAAACAACAAATCGAAGCGCAGGCAGCGCAGTTGCAGCATCCAGTGCAAAGTCATATTGTTAATTGTAACAGAGGAAAACAGAAGAATACTAAATGAATATTAATTGCCCATCGAGTGGAGGTCATTGATGGCGCTCTCGCTCGCTCCCCTCTTTTCCACCGCATTGTGCCGCACTCCTTCCTCCTAACTGCACTCCGTGCTCTGTCTGCAAAATAACGGGACTAATGCATTTGCAGATGGCGGCTGCTTTTCTAATTGGAATTTGTGCAACAAAAAACATAGAGAAACAAAAAGAGCCGCAAATAATTGCTAATTAGTTGCATTTTTTCCATTGTTGCAAGGCTTCGCTTACGAATTTCTAATGTAATTAACGCGGCAGCTGTTTTTTAAGTGTGTGTGCGGCCTTAGTTTATGATCTTTTTTGTTATGTTTTTGGTTTTTTTTTCTGTGTGCAGCCAACAACAAAAAGTCAAAGGTGCAAGTGCCCCACACAAATACATGCAAAACTAGCGGAGACGGCAACCGAAAAAAACAACTAAACAACAGCGAAAAAGGAAGAAGGAGAGAGTCTAGGAGAAGAACCGTTTGATTGATTATTGCCGTGCCTCCTTCTTCTCCCCTCCACAACCTACACTCTCTTCATCGTTTCCTCTTCGACATACCCCCCGGGACGAAGGGTGAGTAAAAAGAGTACAATACAACAAAAAAGAAATATATAAACCAGATTCCATTGTTGTTGCTAGTTTTCGAAAACCATTAAAAACGCATTAATTATATAATTTTCGGGGAAGTGAAACTTCCACTTTCTGCTTCTAAGCCCCAGCAACAATAACATTAATAGCAACAACAGCAAAACGTAAACCATCAACAAAGAAACTTTAAAACTTCGAAACCACGCATAAATATTTATATCTTTAAAGAAAGAAAATACAAAAAAAAGAGTTTTTAGAAACGTTAGCGAAAATGAAACCGTTTTCTAAAAATAATTTATTGTCGCCGGCGTTTCTATGTGTGTATTTCTACCAAACCACAAACTCCTCAAAAGCATAACATATAAAAAATAACACATAACATATGGCAAGCGGAGTGAACAAAGGCCGATAAACACAAACATAAACATATCAAAAGAGAGCAGCGCATAATTCGAGCGGTAAAACGGTAAACAGTTCGAGGCGACGGCGCAGTCCGCTGCAGCAGCAAAAACCTATGTAGGTTTAACATTTTCAGGGGTTTCCTCTTTAAAGATCACTTTTAGATATAAAAGTATCTTTCTTTTCATAAGTCGTAATTAGGAAATTCGTTACAATTTTGATTACTGATTGAGATAGTTTATGATCTTTCTATGATTCCTATTATATCTTATCATAATGTTTTCATCTTTAAGATTCAATTCAGAAGATAGTTTGTCTATCTGATTTGAATTTTAGAATACATTGTTGTATTCACTATTATCTTACTGATTTTTTTTTTAAATTTACTAAGACAGTAAATATGTACAAAAAAAACTTATGTAACTCTCTTAAAAATTTATTTTATCTCATTTTCTATCATACAAATAATTTATCTTATTGTTGGTATATTGAAAATCCTGAGACAATTATATGGATACATTTTTTGTAATTCAATACTCGTCCCGTTCTGAATTATTTGTTAATAATTTCTGTCATCTGATCTCCATATTTTCTTGACTGTGGGAATAACACACACCGATATAACCGACTGTTTAGACTATAGCGCACATTACTTTGGCGCGCTAAAGCGTAACATTCATAAAGAAACGAAAATTCACAGAGCAACTGCCCCTTTCGCCTTATAAACCGAACGCAAGTGAATGGCCGGAGGGGCTATGAACCCCCCACAACCCCCTAACAAATTATGGTTGCCTCTAAGTGTTATTTTATTTATAATTTTTTTTCTTGAATATGTCAGGAGCGAATGAATGGCCAAGTTTTTAAGTTTTAACTGGCTGTCCAGTGGTTTTCTCAGGGGGCCAGCGAAATGCGATACAAACAGGGGGTTTTCGAGGGGGCTATCTGCGGTTATCAGCTGCTGTTTCCAGGGGCGTACCGCAACGGGGGACGGGTGAAAGGGGTGGGTTGGCCTTAACGATAAGCACTGTTTTGGCCTGGCTTTTTGGTCATAGACCTCAAACGTATATACCTGGCTTACAAACAATAAAAATCATAAAAGAGAAACGTGGTGGGGAAAAAGTGACAGGGAAGAGGAGGGGGGAGTTTAGGCCGAGAGAAACGTGGAAATGGCAGAAATGCAGAAACCGCAAATGCCCCCAACGAACGGGCGACGCGCTTTGCTGCCTCTTGCGGTTTCTGTGGCTGCTTTGCTGCTTTTTTTGCTGCCTCTGATAAGCCCCACGCTTAAGAAGAGACAGCAGAAGAAAAGCCCCAGAAGAACGGCCAGAAGAATTAGCCAACTAGTTGACACTGGAAGAAATTTTACCCCTGAATCAGGTTTGGACTCGAGAAACAATAACATTTATCTTTTAAAATGAAAAACCATTAAGTATGTGGTCATAAACAAAGATTTTCGTGTTAAACGTATTCTAGACATTCCTATAAATATGAATAAACTTTTTTATGGCATGGTTTTTCTTCAATTTAAGGTTTGACTGAACATATGGTTCAACATTCTTTAAGGTATTTCAATAAAACTTGGCATTGTTTTTCAATTTTTCGAATTGAATGTGAACAAGAAAGGAAAGCTAACTTCGGGCGGAGCCGAAGTTGATATACCCTTGCAGAATATTCTATAAATTATATTCTCCAAAATTATTCATATGATGCATTCTTAATACTTAAAAAAAGTCCCAACTTCCTAACTTTAAAAACAACAAAGTTATGTCATTTCCAATCGTTCAGTTATATGGCAGCTATAAGATATAGTCGGCCGATCCTTATGAAATTTGGTAGGTCGGATTGATTAACCAAATATAAAATCCATAGAAGATCCCAGCCTCCTAACTTTACAAACACCAATGTTATGGCATTTCCGATCAATCAGTTATATGGCAGCTATAGGATATAGTCGTCCGATCCTTATGAAATTTGGGAGGTCGGATTTATTAGCCAAAAATAAAACCCATAGAAAATCCCAACTTCCTAACTTTAAAAACACCAAAGATATGGCATTTCCGATCGTTCAGTTATATGGCAGCTATATGATATAGTGGCCCGATCCGGCTCGTTCCGACTTATATACTACCTGCAATAGAAAGACAACTTTTGGGAAAGTTTCAAGCAGATAGCTTTAAAACTGAGGGACTAGTTTGCGTAGAAACGGACGGACAGACGGACAGACGGACAGACGGACAGACGGACAGACGGACGGACAGACGGACGGACAGACGGACATGGCTAGATCGACTCTCCTGGTGATGCTGATCAAGAATATATATACTTTATAGGGTCGGAAATGTCTCCTTCACTGCGTTGCAAACTTTTGACTGAAATTATAATACCCTCTGCAAGGGTATAAAAATGTGCATAATTGGTAGACTTATAGGCTTAAAAGTATCTAAAGGTAACATTTTTGAAAAGATAGGGGGAAAAATTAGACCGTTAAATTTCTTATATACCGACTGAAATAAATCTTAGTGGATTATCAAAATATTTAAAAAAATTGTTATGAATTTTAAAGCTAGCACTTTCGCTCAGTGCATGCACACGCACCGCGGAAAGATATCAAGATATCAAAAAGCTGGCAAAAGAATGCGGGGAGAGCAACAGCAAACTAAATTGAATTGTCATTCAACGCCATGGGAGCTCGACTTTGGTCAATGTCTCAATGCCCCTTCCTCACCTCTTATAAACCTCTTTATGACCCAAACTCACCTTCTAACCCCCGATAGTTTTAATGGCTAAATAGAACTAAAGACGTTTCTAAATCATTCACATAAAAACAGAAGTGTTTTTTTATACCCTTATGTGTTATAATTCCAGATTGAAACGCAGTAAAGGACACATTTTTAAAAACTTTATAGGCGAGTCCAGTATTCAATAACAGTCTGTTTTTATACCGTTGGCGGGCTTAGTTTAAAAGCTAGCAATATTAAAGTTCAAAACATAAAGTTTGAAAACAAATCAGTTGACTATTTTTTATAGTTATCATACATACATATATCTGCCATACTGGCCGTTCTAAGCAGTTTTTTTGCGCAGCGTAAAACAAAAATTTTCAAATAGTATTATTTTTTATACACTGATCGATTATTGCATCCACTTTTGGTATAAATGCAAGGGTATTAAAACGTTAACCTGACAAAGTTAGCTTCTGTTTTCGTTTTAATGGTAATTTAATTGATTTTAAAGGAATTACCACA